GGTCTGATTGTTATAGTGGCTGCTTGCGGTGGGTATCTGGTGATGCTTGCATGGAAGTATAGTATACTGTATGTTCCTGTAGGGATTGAGTAGTTGTTGTGGCTGGTGCTGTTACTTGGATGGTTGCGATTGAGATCCCGCTTTCGTTTGCTTCTTCGGGAATTTCCGGCTCTTTGAAGCTGAAGGTTGATAGATATCCATTACTGGTAAAGAGCATGCGATGGAGGTATAGATGCTTTATGAGCTATATGCCAGTCCAACCCTGCATATACCTGATATATAGGAGGGTAGAAGCGTATGTCTCTATACCCTGCTGTATGCGATTCCATGCACCGGTAATATCTCTCTGTTCTCCAGGGATTTTGTAGATGGTCTCTGTTCTGTTCTTCCTGGTTCGTTGTTAGTTACTGGGATAGCAATCTCAGTGATTCTGTGCTTATCCCTGATGGACGCTCCATAGTCGATAGAGGCTATGGTTGAGGGGTGAACAAATGTAGCGAAGTATTCACCTTTTCTCTAGCCGTTATGTTGTCAAAACTAATGAGATTTAGCTTTGACTTGTTCTCAGGTAGGGATAAATATCATTCAAGAGCGTAGCAATTTCCCAGCTGGGCGCGTCTTTATAGTAGGTAGGGGTAGCGCAGGTTTGTGTTGTTTGGTGTTCTGAAATCGAGGTTAATTTATCTATGATCAACTCTATCTCTCTAGGCTGAGAGGATATTGACGAAGAATATCTACTAGGAGGATCTTGGGTCTAGCTGGTGCATTCCTGCTCGGAATCTTCCTTCCATGCGGTTGGTGTATCGTCAGTGGTCGTAATGGAGGCAGAATGTCGTGAATATCGCTTAGGTTGCCTGCAAGCCGACCAGTGTGTATAATCTGGGAATGCAAAAGGTAGTCACACTATTGTGGTCGCCTAAGATGCTGTTAATCTATAGCACTCCGATCATGTATCATGTAGTGTGAAGTAGAACGTTCCCATAACTGACTGGGGTATGTCATGGATTTCGACACAATCGAACGTACTTTGTATTGTAGAAAGGCATATACTGGGCTGCAAAGAATATTAAATCCTGGAATGGTCTTTGATAACTGACCGAAACATGGTATCAGAAATTCAATGGCTGCAGATAATGCAATGGAATAGTAATATAAAGTAAGTGGATAGTATGGGTCTAGTATATAGTTCAGCAAATTCCAACCCGACCACGTCCCTGAATGACTCATCTGATTAACGCCCAAAGGACTCCTGCATCTATATATATATATATATATTTAAAAATAACAACCAAGTATCATTATCATCTCCATATTGAGGTATAATCAAACCTCGACAGCTCAGTCGGACATGCAGAATGTATAGACGTCACATGACACCGCGTATCGCTCGCGTCTCCCCGAGTCGACGGGCTGCAGCTTCTGGACCCCTCAGCATCAACAACAACACAATCTCCATGGATACTCCGCAATGGCTCCTATCCTAGATGGGCTCAATTCCGCACAGACAGCCGCCGTAGCGTCTCCGGCCCCCATCCTCCAGGTCCTCGCTCCACCCGGCTCAGGAAAGACCAAGACCCTGACCGCACGCGTCGCGTACCTGCTCGCGCACCATGGCTACCGACCACAAGATGTCATCTGCTGCACATTTACAATCAAAGCTAGTCGGGAGATGAGGGAACGGCTGGCAAAGCTGATCGGCGATGAGTTACAGAAGAAGCTGATTCTGGGAACGTTCCATTCGATATGTCGGAGATACCTGGTAACGTATGGGTATTTGATCGGGTTGAAGAAAGGGTTTGGTATTGCGGATTCGGGGGATAGTTTGGCGATTATCAAAGTATGTGGTCTGGGTTACATGGTCGTGGTGCCTGTGTCGGTTACTGACTTCTACAGAGGATCGTCAAGCGATTACAGGTTGGAATCCAGCCTAATGCAGCGAGGGCAAGGATATCACACCAGAAAGCTCATGGAGTTAGCCCGGATGAGCTGGCAGCGAAATTGAACAAAAATTCAAAGGTTCTGGAGCAGAGAGAGTTTGTTCAGGTATATCGTGAGTATGAGGCAAATTTGGCAGCATCAAATTTGCTGGACTACGATGATCTACTTGTACGCTGCGTGGAACTGCTCAGGAAGCATCCGCAGTGTGTATCGAACGTTCAAGCTGTTCTGGTTGATGAGTTCCAAGATACGAACCATATCCAGTATGAGTTGATGAATTTGTTTGCGTCCCAGAATCAGCGGATCACTGTCGTTGGGGATCCGGATCAGAGTATCTACGGTTTCCGATCTGCGGAGATCAAGAATCTGGGGCGTATGCAGCAACTATATAAGGATACGTCGATTGTCTTGCTGGAGGACAATTACCGTTCGTCAGGGTGTATTCTGAGCTCGGCTCAAGATGTCATCGAACAAGATTCATCACGGCCGGCAAAGAAGCTGCAGCCGACGCACAGCTTGGGCACTATGCCTGTCCTGCGCAAGCTGCCTAACTCGGAGTCGGAGGCCCTCTGGATTGTTCTGGAGATCAAGAGGTGCATTGCATTGACTGGGAAGCTTGTGAACTATTCAGACTTTGCGATACTGCTTAGGTCGGCCGCTCTCTCTCGTCAAATCGAAGCCCAGATGGGAAAACATGGAATTCCGTACCGGATGGTTGGTGGGCTGAGGTTCTTCGACCGAGTGGAAATCAAGTTGCTCCTGGACTATCTTCGAGTGATTAGCCAGCCGGGTAACACCGATGCTCTCTTGCGCATCATAAATGTGCCGTCTAGAAAGCTCGGTGATGAATCGGTCAATCTGTTGACAAAGGGTGCGGAGAAGGCGAAGAAGCCGCTCTGGGACTTCATCAAGGATGTCGCGCAAGGCCGCAGTTCAACAGAGAAGTCTCTATCAAAGCCTGCCGATAATGGACTGTGTACCTTGGTTGGTCTCATCGAATCTGCTCGACAAAAACTCTGTGAATGCACCGACGGGTCGTCACCGAGGAAGCTCCTCGACTTCTTGATCAAGAAACTTTCGTTCCGTGAATACCTCAAGGCGTTACATGGCTCGAATGAGGAGAATCGGTGGGCCAACGTGGAGGAGCTCTTAACCCAAGCTGATGACACCCCTGGACCAGAGAATGAGGCTGAAAATGATGAAAATCTCCCGGAAATTCAGGGTCTCGAACAACAACAAGCCCATCCAGGTGAAGAGGCACTGTCTCGCTTTCTGGCGAACGTGGCACTGTCCACAGAGGTTCTTCCCCAGGAAGGTGAAGAGGGCGAGCAATCCGATGAGAAGGTTACTATTTCCACGATTCATGCAGCAAAAGGCCTTGAATGGCCTGTGGTATTTGTTCCGGCCGTGCTCAACGGCATCATCCCACATTCACGGGCCGAGGACTCAGACGAGGAGAGAAGACTGCTTTATGTAGCCATGACCAGGGCGCAGGCATTGCTATATCTGAGCTATCCTCTTCGACAGTCCCGCGATGGTGAAGAGGCAACCTTGTCGAGTTTCCTCCCGTCAAAGCTAGTAGAGGAGCGATTTCGTTTTCTGGGACCCAAAATCAACGACAAGATCATACAAGAAATCGCAGATATCCTACGTCGACCAATGCCGGGCTCAGCTGCTATATCGGAAGGACGATCTACCTGTGATATCCCATATGATGATCAGTGGACAGAAGATGGCTTCGAGGCACCTGATGCGATCATTCGCTGGGACGGCACCAGAGCCATGGGCGGGGAGCCCAATCCTAAGAGACAACGGCTCAACCAAGAGCAATCGGGCGCATCGACGACAACGTACATGTCATGGACGCCGCCGACCATGAATGGCTCCAACTTTTCTGTGCCCACCACGTTATCCCTAGGATTCTCGACAGCCCGCGAATACATAGCGACTAGCGACTCGGCCGCAGAACAACCCCCAACCACGAAAGCCGAGACCAAATCGAACGCCGTAGCTGCCAGCATCATCGGTCGCAAAGTGGATGGGCTATCGCAGAAAACGATATCCGGCTTCTTCGGGCAGCCTTCGTCGTCAGGCCCAAAGAGCGGTTCAGGCGCGGCTGGGCGCTACCAGCCTCAGGGCAACCGAAGAGATGCCGTAGGGCAAACGCGTCACAGCGGATCGTCGAACTCTGAGTTTAAAAGTGTGATCCCATCGAATCTCCGGACGTATCGACCGCAAGGGCCAAAGTTGCAATCGCCTCGACCGGTTCTCGAACCTTCCGACCCGAATCAATACACCTGGTTGGCGGCATCCTCGAAGCCCTCGGAGGGACAGAAGCTGTTCTCGCGCGCCACTCAGGGACCGAAATTGACAGACGAAGGAACAAGCGAAGCTGGGAAGGATTTGCGGACAAGCGAGATTAAGAGTCTTTCAGGAACCGTCGGGGGAGCCAGACCGGTGGCCACGTATCACACGACAACCATGTCGATGGTGCAGACAGGGCCCGCGACGACGATGCGACGGACGCTAGGGATTCGACGAAGCATGAATGGATGGGCGGATCGCATGAAGAGGGAGAACAATGGACCATCCTCATAGCGGAAGAAGAATAGTGTGGCGTCTGGCGAAGACAAGGGTATATACTGGTCAGCTATAATGTATGGGCGCAATTACGAGGTTATGATCAAACTACATGGCACTTAGCAATGAGTACAGCCCCATCTCCTCGAGCAAGTCTTCATAGAAGATCATTCCTATACCCTCCATGAGTATGGAAGGCAAGTCTTCACACTGACCTAAGCCCAAGTCCAGAACTCCTTCAGCGCTGCCACAGCTCAGCACAGCCCACTAAACCCCAATCGTACTAGCCAGCCACCCAGCCAGTCAGACACCATCCAGTCCTCAGCATCACTTCGTCCTCGAAAACAGTAGTAGTAAGTAACCCAGTATGACCTACCAGTGATGTAGCTATGCACTATATGTGCAAAAGTACTAAATAATTACCATCCATTCATCCATCCGTCCATCCATTCAGGAACCTTCCATTACCTACGCAAGCAAGCAAGCCAGCCACAATCCCGCCTCACTTTTTCTCTCTCCTTCGCTTCCTTCCATGTCGTTTTTATTCTGTCTCGAACTTTACGGGGGGTGCTGGCCCGAAGACTAACCCGGATTCGGGTCTAGCCTTGCCTGCTGACCTGGCAGTAAGGCACTAATCCAATTACAGTGCTCTAGTGGACTAATTGAGTTAGTAGTTTGCTGTCCGGTGTTTACTTACTTACTAAGATATTACATAAGAGGGATGCAGGCACAGCTGGCGATAGTTCATAGGAGGGTCACAAGGGGGTCACGTCACGTAAAGTAGGTTGCTTTTGCTTTGGTTTTTGCTTTTGTACCTGACAGACGGACGGGCTGGATGGGCACGGTTCGGTTGAGTGGGATGGATGTAGCGGTGTGCTTACTAAGGTTGGTGTATTTGTTGGGAGTCAATGAGAGTATTACTGTTCTGGAGAGGTTGTCAAGTACGGAGTAAGAGCATAAATGAGTGAGTGATTTCTCTGTTTCTTTCTTCGGAATATATGAGTGTAGCGGTGAGTAGTAAGTTTGTTTCTCCATAGGTAGTAGGTAGGTACGTGGTCTGATTTACTCCGTCATTATTAGTATGGGATGGGATGGGATGTGATTACCCGAGGATATTGTGATTGGAGGGGGGATGGGGAGCATTAATTATAACTCCATATTGCTTAGTATGTCTCAATAATCATGGGGATAATCTAATGAAAAGAAAAGGAGGAGGTGAAGCGAGTTAAGTCGGTAAGTAACTAAGTATGGTTCTGCTCAATCTAGCTCTAGTGTACTAGTGTAGCTTACTCTGCTAAGGTAGGTAGCTTACTGACTAGATCCGGAAGTAGTTGGTTGCTGATGGTAGTAAGTGGTAGTTAGTCTGGGGATGATAATACCTGATATTAAGCTTGGAGCTATCTATCCATCTATCATTTACTGAAACGTTTGAGCTATTTTCCATCATTAGCATCAGCATCAGCATCAGCATCATCATCAAGACTATTATTGGGAGAATGAGCTCTTTTTGTCCTGCTTTGCTTCTTGCCTAATAATCGGGCTCTTGAAAGTATGGTTCTTATTGCGACTAGAGAAAAGCTAAGACCGAGATAAGGGGGTGGTTGATCCATCCCCTCCTGAGTAGGCCTGTCTCGAGTACAATACACAGCATAGATAGTGATTAGTCGAGTCGGTGATGGATGCGATGTTCAAATTACCTACCTAGCTGAGGTAGGGTAAAACCGTACTTTGTCCGTGTGACAGGAATAGTAGTAGTAGACCACTTGGGTAGGACGACGACGACGACGACTGCTATTTTGGACTTTCGCGGGTCGTTTCTAATAAACTGGAGCTTGCTGTGCTGCCAGCTAACACAGTAAGTTTCCGTAGATAGTAAGGAAGTCAATTAGATGTGGAGGAAGTGATCCACTTGGAAGAGGAGATGTTCGGTTTGGACAACAGCAGTAATGGTTTCGACTGGGAAATGTGCCTGAGGTTCCCTTCCACTCTTACTGTTTCGGGATGGATGGGGCCAGCACCAATTGGGTTAGACGTTATTTATGGTTGGGTACGGGAAGTGTAATATTGGCTCGTTATTAATAGTTGGGCCGGCTGTCAGGTGATCTGTGGGGGTGGTATAAGGCTGTAAATAACCAGCATGGTGACAGCTCTGGGCCAGTCATCGGACGCATCCCTGGTTTTAGGGGGTAACATTCCCAGGGGGAGCTGCCTTCCCGTGACTCAAGGCGAGTCGGTAAGGTATTGGGCCTTACCAGCAATTGATTCCACCTTTGGACAGCATCAGCAACTGGCAAAAGTTGAGTTGTCGACAACAAACCAGACTAACTAGTTAGTTAGTTAGTAGTTACCCAAAGGCAAGGCCAGTTGGTGGAATGACCGCCTCAGCCTCGTACCGCCACATCACCCAGACAATCCGAAGGGGAGGCAAGACGAGAAAGGAGCGAGGATTCTGCCTGTCTGTCCAAGTCTCCAGCCACAGTCTCCTGAGCATTGCCTGATGACTGACGGGCGGTGCCGAGGGAGCCTGCCTGCCTGTTGCTCCCAGGCTCTTTCTGTCTCTCTCACATTCTCCTTCAGGCTCCAGGGCTCAGGCTCAGGCTATCAGCATAACTCTCCTATCAGACTCATCTCCCAAACCCAATTGAAACACTTACTCATCCCCCCCATCGTGAGAGTGTCACTAGAATGACGAATCACCTGGTTTGCTGCCTCGTCTTTTCGTCCTTGAATTTCGCCCCTGGCAGGGGCGGTGGATACCACCCCCGGGCAAGTTCGAGGCTTCGACGAGGATTCCAGACATTCGATTTCCCTTTTGCCTGGGTGCCCCCATGACGTCTGTGTCGCGGACTTCTTTTGGATCGACGATGCTTCGTAGCATGTAACTAGCATGTAGCATAGTATGTAGTAGGCCGCCGCAGGCTGGCAATGGGGGGAAAAATGGAAGGCAGCAGAGCCCACCGACTAGTCAGTCCTGCAAGATGATCGATCTGCTTTCTCCGTCATGGCTGGCTTAGTGAGTGAGTTTACCGTCTAGATCGAGTCCCTGGGGGAAGCTAAACTGAACGGGATCTGATTCGACTTGATCCTTTTCTGGCTTGGAGCATTATTCTTGCTTTGCTTCTATTCTATTTCCGTTTGGATACCGTTATACTTCCCTACTCCGGGGAAAACATACAAAAGCCTCCTGCCGTCCGTCTGGAATCGCTTCCTTTCCATCTACCACAGACTACTACTATCATAACTCTGCAACTACCACATCTTCAACCCTCAGACTACTACTTGGTCTCTGACTACCTCATCTCTACCTTCATCTCTCCTCGTTTCCCATCGTCTTCTCTCACCTCTTCTCTTACACTTCGGATTTTGGCCTCGTACTGAGCCTTGCTCCGCCACCGACTGCCATCCTTATACTACTATAAATCTACTTTCCTCTCTGGCTCCTACTGTCTACCTCATCTCACCTCCTATCTTCCACCAAGCTACCAAGCTACTACTACTACATTACAATCTACTCAACTCTCTCATATCTCTTTTTCTTTTTACCCAACCATCAATATGCCTCACAAAGTCAACGACTCCAATTCCACCCTGTCCAGCAGTGGCAGCAGCGGTGACCGTGTGGTGGTTTCTGATCTACGAGGTATGTCTTCCCCGTCTGCACCTTCATATCTACTATCTACATCTTGCTGGATCACGGAAGCTAATCCGGCGTCTGTCTCTCCTTAGGGCCCAATGCTGTCCCACGCCGTACACAACCCCCGGTGATTGTCCACAACCGGGGAGGGCAGATCTACGATGAAACGAGACCTTCTGATTGGGACAAGCAACGGTGGAAGTAAACCCCATCCTGGTTCCTCAAGCTCCCAGTCGGGGGGAGTTCCCTTCCGGAAGCGCTGCTGGGCAGTTGCTGGGGACTATTTGTCGCCGGAAGGGCCGATTATCCGCGCGGCTTCGTCCAAAAGTGAGGCGACGGATCGACAGCTGGTCTGGTCAACTATCTTTTCGGCGTCTCTCTCGTTCTCGACCGGCAACCGACGGATGGGATGGCATGCTCTGGACTCTCGTCACCGCCCCCCTGACAATGCTGCATTGCAGCGCGGCCATCCTTTTGCTGTCTCTGTCTTGTCTGTCTCTCTCTCTCTCCGTTGCCGTCGGTTCCCTTGCGAATCGTTGCCCCGGATTCTTGTCTTGCCCTTCCGTCGAGATTACCTTCTGGACTTGATTTCCTTTCCCGATCATTGTACACTATTGTGACCCTTTTTTGTGTTTTTTGACGCCTTTTTCGGATTCCGACGCCATGCCCTTGTATTATTTGGTTTCTTTTACCCTTTCGGAGATTTCGTGTTCCTGTTGCTCCGTGTCTCCTCACAACTGCGACGAGGCACACGTGTTACATCCCTCCATCCATCCACTGGCAAGACTGAGTGAGGACGGACACCAACTCTAACCCGGTTGTGTCTATCTATGCTCAAGACAGCGACGGCATAGTTCCGGGCCAGCCCTTGCTTCTGCCGTCCCTTGTCAGGAGCAACCACGACTCCGTCTTCCTATCCCTTTTTTTTTTCATTTTTTTTTTTATTTCTTCTTTTCAGGCTGTACCATATCGTGCTGATGCTTTTTCTCTGCCCTCCCTTTTCTGCTTTTGTCATTCCGCATAGCGTGGGTTTGATCTTGCAGGACTACCTTTTGTCGGCTCCTGTTCTAATTATGTGCTTCATGTCATATCACGGTCATGTCATGTCATTCCTTTATTCGCTCGTTCGCTTTCTCGTCCGGCTTGGACGCGGAGTCATCTGCATCGCCTATACTCAGGCCATGACAGTTGCCGACCGGCCCAGTCTGGGCGGGTGGGCAGGTGCTGCGCTGGTCGCGGGCTACCTGCCTCCTACATACACACACACTCTTGATGTACCATCATTGCTCGACATGACTGATGCTTTACTGCTACCAACTACTATCCATCTGCTGTTGACTGGTTTGGATTGTTGTCGTTTTGATGTCACACATACTATTTCACAGGACTTACTTGGATACATTCTAAGTGAGGTTGTACCAGATAATCTAATTGTCATGAATACTATTACTACTACTACTACTACTACCACTACTTACCACAAGTGTCTGCATCCATCCATCCATCCACCGTAGTTGTTATCTCCCATTGACTTTCTCTGCACCAACCCGACTAAACCCAATCCATCCCCCACCGCATACACTCACTGCATCCATAGCCCAGGAAACTGAAAACAATAAACCCAAGTCACACTGACAACACCCCTTTCCCCGCATTTCCATTGCATTACATTCTTCCTTCCTCCACTTCTTCCCCGTGGCATGATAACCTCCCACATTTAGTTAACACTTGGTCCTATTATTTCACTCAGATCCCGACAGACACACACACACACACACACAATCCCCACAATTCAATAACATTTGACATATGTGCTGTGTTAATGTGCTGGCATCCTATTACCCATACAGACATGCATACAGACATAATAGAATCAAATCCAGAATCAGTGAAATACTATCCACTTCTGCAGATACACACAGAATGACATAGACAGAAGGGAAGAAAGAGTTGGGTCTAGAATCACCATGACCAGTAGCAAAGCAAAAGCCAGCACATCACCTGACCACACGCAACGCACACGACATCGTCTGTGCTGCATGATGCTCAGGCAGACATGCTACTACCTTTTGATTTTTATCTCCCTCACATTTACCTATCTGGGTAACTTGAAAGGTAGGTAGGTAGGTAGGTGGACTAGATTCCTCCGCAGGGAAACTAGACTAGACTACATGGGCAATATGCACAGCAGCGGCATCAACGGCCAGCCAGATCGGAAAGCGACAAACAGACAAACAGACAAACAACACCTGCCTGCCTACAGATAGCAGGAAGCAAGCAAGCAAGCAAGCAAGCAAACACACAATCGCGGTTTCAACGCAGCCAAGCATAATTCATCTCGTCTTAGCATTTATTGTGTTTGATTGTTTGTTTCTACTACATACATAAATAAATACTAGTATTTACTAAAAAATGCTTTATCACTCCATAAAATAGTAGTTCATCTATTGTGGACATAAATTGCTTACTACTACCAACTAGTAGTGTCATCTGCGAATGTTGCCATGTATCTATTCTCTGGAAAATAGATCCCATTGTGGCAGCTGTAGCCAAGACGGACTGGCCCGAGTCGGGCATGTCGGGCACTCAACTCGTCGTGCGTGTATGCACGATTCATGGGTTCGGTTTACATAGTGTGGAATTGTCTAGAGCATACATATGTATGCAGCCTACTCTGGAAGGGGTATAATACTAGTAGTAGTGTAATGGGGTATGTGTATGTCTTGTGTGTTGTGTGTACTGTACTAGCAGTCGCTCAAGATCTGACTTTCCATGGGAGATAAAAAAAAAGGAAAGCAAATGCAAGATCGAACCACAAGGAAACAAACTAAGGAGATAGATCATTCGATCGATAGGTATCATCCGAGTGAACGAGGGAAAAAGGAAGAAAGAAAGGGAAGAAGGTATAGTAGTAAGGTAATGGAATGGTCAATTTTCATCCACCGGTCCATAATGTTGTGATGACAGATCTTCTCTCTCTCTCCAACTATTAAATAACAAAATTCATATCTGTTTGGTATTTTCTCATTTGCATTTTCCTCCCCGAACCACACAGATTTTTTTGGTCGGTTTTGACAGTGTTCTTTTCTGCTTTTTTTGGGGGACCTCATTCCACCAGGAAGAAAACAGAGGCCGTGGCTCAGTGAGGCACGGTGCAGGGTCTTGTGTGCGACCTGCTTGTATAGAAGGAAACATGGGGTCAGAGGTTAAGCCACATTAATGTTCTTTACGTAGAGGGGTTGTGAAGGGGACAAGGTTGATGAAAGTGTGAAAGGGGTAGATAGGGGGAAAAGGGTAGGGAGAACAAGAAACGAAAAAGTTAAAAACGAAACACCCAGCTTGGTCATCGCAAGCCACTAAAGGAAGCGCAGGAATGTATGACGCTACCCATGGGCTGCGATGGAAAACGAAAACATAAATGCAAATGTACTCGAACGGCTCGCGCTTGCAATGCTAGTTGTAGAAGAAGAGAAATAACAAGCTGAATGCAACGGGGGGGTAGTCCCGAGAGATGATATGCGGAAGACAAGGAGATGGGGTATGCAATTTTTAGACAAGGAAACAAAGATGAAGGTAGAACGAAATTGGTGTCGAAATAGAACCAGGTCTGTATAGGTTCTGGTTCCAACCAGATCGGCATTTATGGCACAAGATGCAAAAATACATCGTATTCAGGTATCGAGCAATATGTTGGTATATTATTGACGAGCAGCTCCCTCAACCCTCGTGTCGAGTTCAGTAACCAGTGCTGAATGACATCTGGGGCTGGAGGAACTGTTGTTGGTACGTGGTATCTTGCGAATACGCGTGAGAGCTCACGTACTGCATGCTGGGCGGGGGTGTCGGCGATGGCGAGCAAGCACTAGCTCCTGCCGTGCCTTTGGCAAAGGTGGGATTACCACCATTGGCAAAAGCCTCGTTCTCCGGGGTGATCGGCGGTGTGATATAACCGTGCGCCATGGCCGATGATTGGGTCGCCTTCTGCGGTGTAGCAAGCCCAATCTCGCCTTCGTATGGCTTGGGCTCGGGTTGTACAACGTCCGTTTGCGGGCTGGGGGGCGTGTAGCTTGCGATCGAAGCTTGACGGGCAAGGAATTGTTCCAGCACCTTGGACACACGGGAGTAGTGAGCTGAGGAATACTTCCTGGAAAGTACCTGGGAGGGTTGGTGAAGCTGCTGCGACAACCCCACGAGCGTCATCGAGTCGTACTGGGATGCCCATTCTGTGTGACGAGGCTGAGTCCGGTTCAGGATGCAGCGCGCAAGAGCCAGCGAGGCCCGGGCGAGATCCGACGACGGCTTGGACACAAATTCCCGATGGAACAGCGAGATCTCCGAGATATACAATGCCAGGTGCTCGACCTCGGCATCATACGGGCAATCCATCACAGCCATCTGCAAGAAGCTATCGACAGTCGGGTGTCCAATGGTCCACCCCAGTGTTTGCAGCACATGCCACTCCATCTGGATGAACATGTCGTCGTCGTATAGAGAACAGCACATCGACTTGAGCTCCTTGATGGTAGGCACGCGGTCCTTCTTGTCGCCATACTTGGCTGCGATGAGCAAGGCAGCACATCCAACGAGTTGATAGTGTCTCTTGTAGACGACACGCTTGGAGCAGTAACGGTCAAGAAGGTTGATGGTGAGGAAGAGGGTCGATGGCAATAGCTGGAATGCAGTGTGGGCTTCAATCAAGAAGTCGAGCAGGTATGGACGCATGAACCACTGGATCTCGGTCTGGATATCGATCGACTCGACGTCCGGAAGCGTAGCAGCATCCATGTCCAGCATGTGCGCCAGAACGTCGTCACGGAATTCCTCGCTGGTAATCTTTGACAGCTGTTCCGCCATGGCGTACTGACGCTCACGAGCCATCAACTTGGCGTGTTCTTTCGGATCCATACGGGGGGCAGGGAACTCGTCGTAGGTCTCGACGAAGAAAGTATCGCAGGGCTGGTAGCTCGATGTGGGGCGCTTGTGGTAGGCCATGATGTCGGTCTGGTATTAACGTCGACCCAAAGAGTATTCAAAGAATGGACCTGATAACAGTGTCGATCAGGAAACGACGGAGGTGAGAGAATGACAGTCGTCGGATTAAGGGATTAATGAGTGGAATTAGTTGGGAAATATTAATGAACGGCCACAAGAGACGATAGCCTGGTATTGAAAAGGAGAAGGATGGGTAGACAGCTGGAGTGGAGCCGTGTGATGGCCGGAGCTAAAAGAGGGTATTATTAGTTAAACGTAATATTAAATTAAAAAGATTAAGGAAATTTGTAAACGAGTGTGAAGTTCAAAAGGATGGTAATGTAGATATAGAGGTGAAGGGAAGGTTTGAAAAGGTGAGAAAGGAAGGCCCAAAGATCGAGGGCGGAAAAGGGGATTCCCTGGGGATAAAGTATACTAACCCAGATTGAAAGCCTTCGGGCAGAGGGCACGATGCAACCCTTACCGTGACGGCGTGTCTGGCATCTAGGCTGGCTCAGGAGCAGGCAGGAATGATCCGTTGAGATGGGACTCTGTAGGATACCAGTCCGAAAGACGAAGCACGAGTAAACGCCTTCGCCCTAGGAACCGATGCTTGAGCTGGCAAGCCTGGGTGTGCTCCGGAATGTGGAAACAGGAGCACAGGCACGAACCCTATGAAGGGGTGGGGAAATCGTCAGGGGGGGAAAAGGATTAAAGTGCAAAGAAAAGAATGACCACCACGTACAGTTTGCAATCCAGTGTCTTTTCGAACGTCCCTGTACAGGACTGGAATGGTGTTGCGACAGGGGAAAAGCGCTTAGAGGGCCAAAATCCACATTAAAGGGAGGGAGGCTAAATCGAGGCCAAATTGAGATATTAATCAAGAAAAACCTGTCTCCTGAAGGAGCAAAAGAAGGTTAGCCATCATCATCTAGCCATCACTTTATTCCTGAATCGCCCATTGCGATTAAGAGGCCAAACGACTTCTTGGTGGTCTGCCAATGTATGAGGGCCCGGGTCGACCCCGTCAAATATGCACGAGCTGTGTGCTACGCATTCTTTCTTCAGGGCACATGAGGATCTCCCCCTTCCGATCCACCTCGTTGCTTAAGATAAGGCCGATCCTCTCCATCTGGCAACATGTTTTGTCGGATGGAGACAGGCCAAGGCTGAGAGGAAAAGACATCCGACCTTCAGCACCTGCATTCCCTGCCCACACCCAACTCAATGAGCCATTGTTCACGACCCCCGACCTTTACGCAGCCACTGTTCGAATATCCTCTATCCAAATCTCCCACTGTATCATTCCCGACGTATGATTGCGATCGTCTCGGACTTCAGGTTTCCAGGCCTCGAAGGAAATGTGGCAGGTCTCGGAAATCGAAATAGGGAATTGCTGGCTTCACTTGAATTGGGTTCATGGGAAACTCGCTCAGCTGGTAGGAAGCTTCACTGACGTCTACTGACATCGGTGCCAGGTAGGCTGAACTATCATCCAGAGTGTCTCCCACTTCCACACAGACACACCCACAACTCTTGCCCCGACCATCCAAGCAGGGGTGAAAAGGGGGGTTGAAGGACAAAGGAAAAAAATATGTTCTCACCTCCCAAAGGATCACAACCAAGATATAGAAATGTACAGAAAGCGTCGAAGAAAAAAGAACCCTTCTCTTTCGCTCTTCTAACCGGCAGGAGCTGAAGTCAGGGGAGTCTACCCGTCGATGTCACGGATAGGGCACCGGTAGTCGGATAGGGAGGAATTCGCCGTTTGAGTTAACAAACGTCGAAAGGGGAGGACGTCGAAGCGAGAGCTGACGGACACGGCTCGACTGGAGAGCTGGTGCAACTGGCTGAAGAAGTGGTCGACTGTTATAGTACAGTCAACGGTCTTTTCTGCCTCGTAGACCAGGCTCAGTTCTCTCCTAAGGAATTGGCGGGTGGTAAGGAAAGGGGGAGGAGGGGAAGGGAAGGAAGGGAGAAGGAGGTGAAGATAAGAAGAATGAGGAGGAGAGGAAAGTGAGGAGGAGCTGCTCTCTCTCCAGACGGGTGTAGTAGAAAGAAGAGAAAAAGAGGATTAAAGAGATGGGACGAGGGCCGGAGATAGAAGTCTCGAGAGGATCGCTGCAGGTTAGCTCGCCCACGCTGTATCGTAACCCATGACGCTTTTCCCGTATGAATGGTGGTATTGGGTATCGCGTACCGAGGCTGGAAGGTAAGCGTATGGTTTTGTTTTAGTTTCATCTCGGTTTCCAACGGTATCTCACCAACCAGAATGGGCGTTGGCTGGCTGGTGTCTCTTCTTTCTCTACTTTCAGCTCCATACGTTTGATATCTACGCCTAATAATTCATCGAAGACTCGTGTTCAAAGGTACGCTTAAGGTGCTTGTGAAACATGCTAAAAGGGCTACAACTCAAGCATGTCCTCCATGGCCAAAAATACCATTTACTGCGTTGTGGAACAAGCGGAAGCACCATGAGGAAGCCGGGGCGCTGGTGTATCTTACTGGATGATACCAGGTAAATGGGTAGAAACTGAGCCCTCACAGACCAGAATCACATTGAGCAATAGACACTCCTTTTGCAGAACCTCGCATCGGATACACCCTCGACCTAACGCGGCCTGAGCCCCGGAGGAGCGGCCCTTACTGTGAAAAGGGAAAGTCTATTACCCTAGAGGTACATACATACAGGCAAAGTACGTAAGGGTATGGATGCGGTACAGCGGTAGAGACGGGAGATACTGGAAGGTACTGGGCTTGGGGCGGGTACCTACTAGTAGAAGTTAGTATACCACCGTATAGTTACGGTCGGCCGTATGCCTTCGTCCTTTGGTTACCTATTCTTCATTTGGGACCAGTTTTAATCAAGGAGGGGCACAGGCATCATCACTTTTCTGATACCTTTCAACATTATCCACTACTTTCTTTCTTTCCAGGTTGTAGATCCCCTCAATCCAGGGAATCGACAAGCCTGGAGAGAGGGGGGTTTTCTTTTGACGTTGCAAGTTGCAATGCTAGCTGGAGATTGACTTTCTTTGCTTCCGGGCTGTACCAGACGACTGGTCTCGGTTCACCCGTAGGGGAGACACCTGTTTTTCGATGGCGGCCTCTCGACCCTCTAAACCTGCAAAGTCCCAGCACCAGCGCTCCTTCGGTGGGCTTCTGGGTGGGGTGATCTCCCTCGTCACCGGCCAGTCCTCACCAGCCATTGCCTCCCTGATTCAGGCCAGGAACACCTCCGGTCCTTGGCTCCGTGACCTTTCTTTTTCTTTCTCTTCTCTCGCGGGCCCTTAGGATGCGACGAAGAGGCGTACCGTGTATGTATCGTTATTGGAGCTGCGATTTCTCTTGCATTAGGCCTTCCCTGCTAACTCACACACACTACCTACCTAGTTAGGGCGAGCTGTGTGTCAGTTGCGCTCTAGTCAATTAGTCCGTAGACAAATCGACTTCAATTGTGGGCTGCGGTCTGCAATGTGACGATTAACTAAACTAGTCCGGAGGGCCTACCAAAGTCGTCGTTATCGAGGAATTTTAATCTATCTGTCGTAGTTGAAATAATGTGATCCCTACAGTTAATGCGACCAATGCTGGACACATTATCTCCATGGTCGCAATTGACCCTCCCATTTCACTGAAACCCTCGATCTATCCATCCTATTCTTTAACTCGTCAGGTCGACTAGGGTCGGGCAACTTTACCTATCCTTCAGCATATCATAAGGACGAAATGCTATTTGACGACTCGCTCGGATTACCCACAAATGCGGAGTAGCCGACTGGGACTTTTTTCAGCTGGCGACTGCCCGTAATCATGCTCTCGATCGAATGGTTCGCATTTTTTACTTTGGTAGGTAGAGATGTACGTAAGTATGTAAGTTGTCTTCATACATACATACAGTAAGTAAGTATTAGAAAACCAGACTGACGTCCCGTACCTTACTACTACATAATAAGTAGTATCTAGTCAGTTCCAGTCCATAGTAAGTAGTGGGAGAGCGGTCGCGTCTCTCCCTCCCTATAGCCGTCATCAACTGCTGACTGGCCCGACCCGCACTGGGCTACGGTACATCGCGTATCCTTCTGCGACCATTCACAACCAGTCGCTACCATGATTGCTCTTACGCCTCTCGTCTGAGGCTTGTCGTTGTACAGCTCGTGATCCATCGACTTTGGCCTCTTCTCCGAAAACCTTCCTCGTAGTCCGCTGGTCTCTTTGTTTCGCACACCACAAGGGGATTTCATCGTCTCGAACCAAAATATGACGAGAGGTTGTGCTGTTGGATCATATGCAAGATGATCCGCGGGAGAGGGGTAGCCAGAGCCCAGGCCCACGGTACGCAGTTCAACTTGACTCTACTGTTTCAATTCGCCTTTTTTTCAGCTCATTGACTGAACCAGGCACATCTTGCTTTGTACTGCATCTTGTAGTGTGCTCGATTCACACATATTACTGCGCACAAAAGAAACGGTGAGAGAAATTAGATAAGGCCTGCCGTGATGTGTATCTATCCGGGTACTACACTGTCTCTGCGCCGTAAGGCAACCTTCAGTATTACAGTAGGAAGATGGTCATATCCAGATGTTCATCACCCACCCATATTGGCTATTCCGAATCCCCGGCATATCGCACACATTCCTCTACTAAAAAATTAAGTGCCATAGATGCAGCGCAGCTGCACTGGTGCGAGATGACCCGAGTAACCTATACCGACGACACTTTTCTTTCAGTTCCTGAGCCCACTGCGATCTGTCACGCAGGTTTCCTTGCGGGGGTGCTCTCCCGCAACTTACGGTCCATCCAATGGCTCGGATTAGACGAGGTCTGGTTCGCGGATCTAAGATGGTGTCATGAATGCTACGTATAGGATCACGACGATTGATAAAGGATGCGATTTGGTGTGAATTCTACGTAGAGCAGGATTGACCCGTGGACATCGCACATGTGGTCGAACCGACAATCAGTGACACGCAACCTAGTACCTGTCGAAATCTACCAGAGAGGTAACGCCGTTCGAGGACGTAACTCTGAATGCGTACCTTTCGATCGTCTACACCGATAAAGAATGTAAGTAAGCTAATTGAAGATATTGTGGTATCGCTTCTATGAGCTACTCAACGTTTGACCTGTGACTTAAGAAGCAAAAATATGACCCATGGTAGACCTCAAGGGAGTAAGGGAAGTCTAAATCGCAAGGCTGGCTGAAAAGTCTTCAGCGGCCAGAAAGCTAGTTCCATGAAAGAGTGAAGCATCAGAGAGCTCTGGAAACATCCACACTGAGCTTTGTTGAAAACTCAAGGTAGAGTGGTGGCTAGAACGCTCTCGATACTCGGCGCAGGGATAGCTTTTGGTTCCGAGCCTCGAATTCCCGTATCCTCTACTATCCCTGGTCCTCAAAAGCCATGCCTATTCAGAGGACGGGAGTGGCTGAGACGGGCTGATATTGTCACTTGTCATTTGTCCGTTCTCCACTGAGCTTTATGTCTGTTGCATCTGGTCTTGGTGTATAATTGAGGTGGCTAACTCTGGTCACAATTGCAGGCCGTCCTTGCTTTAGACTGATCTCTTCCAGTCTTTAACTCTTACCTTAGTAGGTCATGCTGCCGATTCCGGAATGCACGCGCTTTGGTCCTGTGGACAAGATACGATGCATCTAGCTGTATTCTTATCGTGATGGAATGCTGGATAGGGAACATTCTCACTACGCCGGGAGAAAGGAGCAACCTGCGGGACCGGGGTATCTTGCGAGGATATTTTCTTCATTCATCCATTATTACATGACCAAACAACTCAAACTCGGACTCTCTCTCTCGTCAGCACATTCAATTGTGATGAACAATAAGGGGTAAAAGGGGCACTTTAGTGCGGACTAGGATGTTTGCTTCATCACCTCCAGGCGCCAAGCTGCCAGCCGATCGCGATCAGTAGATTACCCTCTATATCACTCGTGTAATGAATGTCTAAGCTGTACGTGACTTGTGGCGAGCGATCGGAGTGAGGCTTAGCTATCTGAACATGTTCTTTGCAGATCTTGGACTCATATATCCTGTAAGGAATCAATTGGTAAGATGTGGACAGAATCTCGGTAATTATCAAGTTGCCCAGGTAATAGCAACTGACCGGGCAAATGTTGACCATTGGGATTTTTTCTATTTCACTACGAAACCATCAAATTTGAGTGAGGCTTACATTATTGGTACTTATTCGCTCCAAGACCCTTATGAGGCTTCTGGAGCAATGCACGGTAGCCGCTGGAGCCTATCCGCCTTCTTCCCGTCCAATACATCCGCTTACCTTCCCCATCCCGCTGGGGTATGGAAATAGAAGACAAGACCCTAGCTGGAGGAACAATCTATTTCCTCCTTCGTTGTATGGACATTCGCCGCATGGGGTACATGTATAATGATATTATGGAGATATCATCATGCATGTAGAGATGATCCAGAATGCGTTGCTTCGTAACCCCATCCTTAAAGTGGCTAGCTATTCTAAGCGTCCTCCCGGCGACGTATCAATAGACATCTCCTTGCTGGGTACCTGCAGACTCCAATTCGATACATTCTACGGAGTACTCCAATCAACGAATCCTTGTTTAACCTGCAGACTTGTAATCGTCCTTGCACTGATATTATGCATTCCTTTGGATGGAGTACATGGTCATAATTTCTCCCCAGGCCAACCATGAGTTCCATACGTCGATGATTGGTCGTGTGTAACATCCCGTACTACTATTTTGCCCCCCAATGCAAGGGCCGTTCTGACGGAATATCCTCAGTGCATATCATTATTTCCTGTAGTATCTAGATAGCGCCAGAAGGGCCGAGATTCTTCTTCTTCCTTTTCCAACATACGTATCACTCTAGGATACGAACTAGTTCGTGCACTATATGACTCGGAGAATTCCACTGTTTTCTTGATGTAATCACCGCTCCACACTAGGGGCATAGCAAAGAGGATACCCTGATTTATCGGTGAGCCTTGACATATTAACGTCCATGACTTAGAATCCTTCCTGCCGACGCTCGACGGGGTAAAAAAGGAGGACCATCTCCTAACTAGTCCCTATCCATCTCTCGTAGACTGAAAAGGTGTCATACAATCCTTCCCAATACACTGGTCTTTCTACCTCTTTCTACGATGCTTCCTAGTTTCCTGTACCATATAAACACACCGCATTCGGCACCCGAAATTACAACCCACTGCGGATCTTGGAAGCAGAAAAAGTGGTCTAGGAATTCCCTGGAATTTTAAATTTCGTAGAGGGAATTAGTAGCCCTTCAATATTTTGACCCCATTCCCTTTGCGAACGACATGAAAAGGCCAACAGCAGCCATTACGAGTAAATCGAAGCTGTCACCGACTCGCCCAGTCACCGCCCACCTATATAAAACGGAATTAGTTAACTACTAACTTAGCGGGCGTTTCTCAACCAGAAAACGAGGCGGTTTCTAAGGCCCCGCAGTTCCGACCATTTGGTCCACACTTAGAAACCGGCTTACGATATTCGGAGCGCTAGCCATACGCACAAAATGGCGGTAGCCGGGAGGCAACGGGTACAGTATGCAAAAACGAAGTTCGACTTGCCATCAACGGATGAGGTAGATGGGTGTGGGCCAAAGTGGGCAGACAAGCAGAAATTTTTCTCCTAGAAAGAAACGGTCGGAGGAAGCCAAATTTGTCAAAGAAAAAATCAAAGTAGTTTTTCTTGGGTCGTGAGAACCAGATGTTAGAGAGGAAATATTCTAGAAGTTTTGATAAAAGGATTTCGTTTTTGTATAGACACAAAAGTACTACTCTACTACCTGCACCACCAAAATTCTACATCACATTGGTATCTGCTCCATCTTTCCCTCGGTATATTGCATGTTCAATCCCGGATTGATCGTCGGATTTCTGCAGTAATTTGATAGTAGTTGTAGTAGTGGCTCAACAAGTCAACAATTTTGATCTGATCAGACCATCTTTGGGTAGGTCAGAAGTTTCTTTATACTATGTTCTTCAAATCATGCTACGTGTATCACTTTCGGTACTCTACCTATCTTCATGTTCGGTGTATTCGTCAACTTTCATCGGCTTCAAATTTTGCTTTTCTCTTTCTTTCTCTTTCAACATCTAAAGTTACCGGTATTGATCCATTGAGACATATACGTACTTTACTTGTTTTTCATTGTTGCGATATCCGTTTCGGGTCCACTACGTTGACTTTTACCTAACGATTCCTAAAGCCTGTGTATACGCCGCGTAGTTTAAGGTGGTGGACGAGACATGGATGCCAGAGGTTGTCGGCAAGCAAGCGCAGCACAACTTGGCGCGAACCGTCCAAACTCTCCCCCATTGATCTTCATTATTTCGTCATTGAGTCCTCAGTCTTTTGTCATGATCTAAACCCATCGAGGGAGTGCAAGGGAGGTACATATCATCAGTGAACATGTACCTCGTAGCAATGTGGGGGAAGAGGAAAAAATTTTTATCTTCCACTGCAACGATGTGCATCACTGATCTGAGGTATTTTACTAAGTAGTGGGCAAATGTATCCCACAGTCCCTCTAAAGATGTGGAAAAGATATCCACGTTGCCCGTCAAGTATTTCAACCGAATGCTACATTGACTGGACGAATAGAGACCCTGCCAATTAGTGACAAACGCCCATCCGACGACGCGAGAATTGCCCAAACCACACCAAAAAATCTCGAGACAATATGACCTTTTCTGGTAAGGTCAGGTCCTCTACGACTGGGGCAGCGGAGAGCCTCAACCATGGTATGCTGTGTGCTTTTTGACGGCCGGATTTCTATGGGTCCAGGTTGTTTTCTGTCAGGTTCTGCCTGTCCTGCCTGGTAGGTACCAGAGGGTACCGGTTGGTAGCAGTGTATGCCTTGTATGAATACGCCCCAAGACGTATGCTGAAGACGATACCGAGTAAGGGTCCTTACCTATACATACAGACCGAGATCGTACTTACATGGCGCTAGCTGGGATTTGGCTTAGTGCAAAACAGAAGAGCGGGCCCGATTGTAGTGTAAATAAACGACTCCACATTTAACCCCAAAGCTCTAGAAAAAGAAAGATTATTACTCAGCGGTCAGTTCAGCCTTGTGCCGAATCATATGTTACTGCTGTCCCCTTTGGCAGGGGTGAAGTAATATGTGGAATTTGTCAATCGAGATTTTGTCATCCAGGATGAATATCTTGAGTTATCTAATTCCAGTTGTCGGTCGCTCAATGGCAGAACGCGTTTAAGACTACTAACTAGGGGACGGGATGCATCGATAACTCCGCCCTCGGGGCGCGTTCTGTATTCCCTCTTTTAGACCCATGTCGTCATTGAGTCTCGCGTCCCACGTTTCGGGTCTCCGGCCTGCCTGTTCTGGAATCCGGAGTTACGAGCAGCACAGGTTGGAGATTATTGGCCCATCGTGATGCTTTTATTAAACGTCCAATTGCTAAGGAGTAAGTACTAACTAGTGTTTGCTGCTAATAATCTGGCCCCGGGCTTCAATAATGACCGTGATATAACAATGGAGCCACTCCTATTTCTATCTCTCTTGGACCTCCTGAAAAAGGAGTTGGAGATAATCCGCTTCGCTTCTATACTTGTTCTGGGTTTAATCTCCTGGCAGGACCGGGAGATCAGACATCCGATTGATGCCGTCCGTCCTGAACAAGCCACGTTTCCCTTCAGCTCTCATCTCCACGCCTCAGGCACGCTCGCGCGGCCACCCTCCTTCCGGCGGGTTAAAGGGGGAGGGGAACAAGTCTCAAAAGATGACATAAACTGGAAATTGAAAGTCTTACCCGCGGAGCTTGGCGTGGATTGTGATGAAAAGCCCTTTACGCGTGATGATTCGACGATCGCGTTGGCAGACCATCGCGCGCTTATTGCCAATCTGGCGTGTCTCTTCAATGGCGTTCTCCGGATAACCCTGGTCTAGAAACTAGAGAAAGCCTTGCATCTGCATCCCGCTTTCCGTGCCTCGAGACTTTGCCACTAGTCCGGGGAAGGATTACGGTTTTACCATTCTTTGGTGCCGCTTTTGGGTGCAGCGATAGTTCACACTGGCGAAGGTCTACTTGCATTTTGGTTCTGTGCCCTGATATCCCTGTCTAATCCCAGAAGCCTAATATATGAAACTGCCCGCAATTGGGCTCGCGGTTTGCATGAACCTGGTCGGGGTGTTATTAGGTTCAGCTGGCACGCCTGGACCGCCCCATCAGCCACCTCCTGAACCGGAGAATGAGTGATGCCTGGTCTTAACCAACGAGTCCTGACGCGCTGTCATTGCCGTCTCTGCGCCGACGGTCGCCATGTCCCGCCAGGGTTACCATGCTGTGTCGCGCATACCTGCATTCACGTTTCAAACCAGCGTCGATACTTCGTACAGTGAACAGAAAAAGATAGCTTAGTTTGCGCCAATTGAGAGCCCCTTTTCGATTGATTAGGCGCAGCGAAGATCATATTGCGTGATGAATTCAGCCGGAGGAGGAATTGGCGCCGTCCGTTCTATATTTGCCTCTTGGCTATCTATAAGATGCATATTATAAGGTCTGACAGTGCATTTTCTCATACTCTAGGAGTATCAAACCCATACCGAAAGGACTGGGGAAATTCCATCTGCGACTTGGCATTGTGTTCGGGACTACAGTCTGACCTCCTGACAAGGGAGATATGAGTTCTCATCGCGATATCGTGTATATCCAGCAAGACTGTCACTTCCTCCCCTAATGCATGCTGCGCGGTGGTTGTTATATCCGAGCGCTTCGACGGAGTAACCCCAGGAGATCGTCTAGGACCCAATGGACCCGTAAGCAGCCCCGCCAATCAATGATTATATTCGTTCGACTCTTTGGCTCCGGAAATTGTCCTCCTTCTTATCCGACACTATTTGCATTATGTAGGCTTCGCTTGATTCATGATATGTGGTTCTCGGATTAGAGAAGGCAACGCGACTTGACGATCAGTCGGCTCCGTTCTTACGGGGTTCGCAGTCAATCGCGCACTCGTTATTTGGCTTTTCAAGTGCTAATCTCCTGATAATGTCCCGGGCGAGTCTCCCAAGGAGATGATCTAAGAGTGCTGTCTTGGTTGTGTGTTTGGTGCGGCTCCTTCCAAGTCAGCGCGGCACAAATTGTGCCTATCAATGAACCCCGCACATCCCAATTATCAAATCAGACTGTCGAACCGCACTTGGAATTGAGCCACGCATCCTGGTTCAGCTGAGGGGGGAAGATGAATCCGCCAAAGATAGTATTCTGAGCAACTCATTTGGGTCCACTAATATTCCTTGCTGTTGAGCCTGCCGAGGCTCATTTCCATACGCCGACGAAGTTGGACGTAAGCATTCCATCCGCATATACCCCCTTTGCTCACCCTCCATACAAGCCAAGGGACAGACGGCATATCTCTCCTGTACCTTTACACAGTACATTCAATTAGTCTCTCCACACCTGCACATGAGCTCTGACATCCTGAATACCACGGAATTTCGCCCCTTGGGTGGGGAGCGATGCCTGCAACACCGGCTTAGTCGCATCCTATCAGATCTCTAGGACTCCGAACCGGGCCCTGCTAGCCTTAAAAGTACGAACCGCGCTCCGGAAATGATGGCCTAGGCTGCTCTGACGTGGCAATCCCTTGATCTCGAATCGACCTATGGACATCCTAGGACATGCAAGTGTCTTGTCAGTGATACGACATCTTCATGCAGCAAAACTCGCTTCTCTGTGTTCAAATATCCGATGGATGCCCTGATAGCCAGTCATTGAACCGTTTCAAATCCCACTTGCATATGGCCAGTACAATCCATTTGTTCGACATCCTATCCCCCATTCTGACTACATTCGCAAGAATCCACTAATCAGACTGTCTGCCTCTCAGCATGTGTCGCGCAGAGTTGGCCCGACCAAACAAACCATCCTGGTCCTAGCCAGGACTTGTTTGTTATCTTGCTCAAAGCTTGGTATGGCTGAGACTTTGCAAGCAACTGTTGGTTCACAGCATTTGTTCTCATCAGATGTGTTGGCGTTGCTTATCAGTACAAGCTGACGTCTCTCTCCGACATGGAGGGTATGCCGACTGACTAGGCTATTCCGGCCAGATAGATGAATGCTAAACAAGCGCACTCTCATGCAGTAGTTTCTGAACAAGTTATTCCGTTCTTGCTATTCCTTGAAATACTTGATATGGCATATTGGTAGCTGAGCTTTCGCAAATTGATACCAATAGTACAAGAAAGGTGGGCCATCTACGTCCATGTCGCATATGGCAAATCTCCCTAATAGCTGCGCTGAGCAGAGAGCAGATTGCGGATCATAGTATACTTGTAATACTTTGACCTTCGATCAATAATACTGTTCAGTATGTAGATATCAGCTTTTGCCGTTTCGGTTTATTACATAGGAAAATCTCAACGACACCATGGCCAACTACCATAATAGCCAGCCAACCTACCTGATAGCCACAATCACATCTCGTGAGATTCACATTAAGATTATTTGTATCTCAGCACTGAGCATTTGCAATGCTCGACGGCGACCACAGCCAGAGACAAATCACGTGACACAAGAGCCGGTGGGACCTCCGCGGCGCGCTAAAAATTGTATCAAAAAAGATCCGGAAAAAAAGCTGAAGAGTCGCCAGCACCATCCAATCGAGCCACTGCGCCCGTCCCAACCATATCACGAACCGTTTTTATCGACCGGAATGATTGTTTAACGGTCGGCTCTACAAGCTGAGCCGGGTAGAATCCTATCTTTCATCGCCAAACGGGGATCTACTTTTATTCCACGCCGTACCAACGAAGCTCTTCCAATACCCAAAAAACTAAAGACATCATCACCACCACTCAAAGCCCATCATGGATATCCACCGTTGCCGTTTCGTCCCCTACAACCCTCAGGCGATCAATGCGCTTGCCTTCTCCCACCCTCCCTCCGCAGAACTCGCAGGACGAGGTGTCCCTACCCTCCGACTCGCAATCGGTCGCGCAAACGGCGATATCGAGATCTGGAACCCCCTGCGCGGCGCCTGGTTCCAGGAGACAGTTCTCAGAGGAGGAAAAGACAGAAGCATTGAGGGGCTCGCATGGACGCTCGATCCCCCTGAGCCTGGTCCCGATGGGTCGAAGCTGCCTGGACGTCTGCGCCTCTTCAGTATCGGATACTCAACTGCCGTGACGGAGTGGGATATCGAACAGGGTCGTCCTCTGCGCCATTCGAGCGGAAACTACGGCGAGATCTGGTGTTTGGCTGCTCAGCCCAGGTGGCAGGCGACGCGGGGTAAGGATGGCAAATTGTTGCCTCCGGCGGAGGGAGAGTTCACGGGCCAGCATCTGGCTGCAGGATGCGCCGACGGATCGATTGTTATCTTGTCCACGGCGGATAATGATCTGAAGTATCTGCGTACTATGCGCCCGTCTACGAAGAGGTCGAGAGTGCTCAGTGTTACTTTCCAGAACCGTAACACCCTGGTCGCGGGCTATGCGGATAGTTCGATTCGGTTGTACGATATTCGGAGTGGTCAGCTCTTGCGCACGATATCCCTGGGTAAGGGGCCTGCGGGAGGAACGAAAGAATTGCTCGTTTGGTCGGTTAAGTGTCTGCCTGATGGAACGATTGTTTCCGGTGACTCGGCTGGTGAAATCCGCTTTTGGGATGCTAAGAACTATGCCCTTATTCAACGTCTGCAGGGCCATTTGGCGGATACTTTGGACATTGCTGTGAGCGCGAAGGGTGATACTGTTGTCAGTGGTGGTGCCGATCAGAGGACGGTCGTTTATAGGAAGAAGGAAGGCGAGAAGGGAGACAAGAAGGCCAGATGGACTGAGGTCATGCATCGTCGCTACCACACTCATGATGTGAAGACCTTCGCTGTTTATGAGACCAGGGATATCAGTATTGCCGTGTCTGGAGGTGAGATTCATCGTGCTACGATATATGCGATTGCCTGTGGACTAACATTGAGTAGGACCTGACGCCGCACCGGTTGTCCTGCCCCTGCGCGAATTCGGAAAGGAGCACCACAGAAAGCTGTCTAGCTTGCCTCAAATACCCCAACTTGCATCTTCTCCTTCATCTAGGCTCGTGATGAGTTTCTGGGATAGGGAAGTCAGTATCTGGCGTCTGCACCGCGGTCCTGCGTCACACGAGAATGCCGATGGCCAGCGGCATCGGTTGGTTGGCAAGGTTCTCATTCAGGTAAGAGTTACAGTGAATCACAATACAGCACATATCTAACGACTTGCAACAGGGCGAAGAAAACATCACATCTGCTATGCTCTCCGCTGACGGAAAGATCCTCGTCGTTGCCACGATATCCACCATCAAGCTGTTCTCCGTGCGGCGCCGCAAGGGCGATGAGAAGGGAACTCTCCGCATACAGAAGTTGGATGTACCGAAGGCTCTTGCGGAGGACGGTGCTCGGGTCGTGACCGTCGCTCCCAACGGCCAGTGGGTTTGCGTCGTTCGTCCCAACAGTGCCATGTACCTGGCTCGGATCAAGCCCGCTTCCACCGCGCAAGAGAAGCCTCACATTCACTCCCAGCTTGTCAAGCTGAACAGAGCTACTCGTCACACTCGTTTCGAGAAGGCCTCGCACGGTACCTTGGGCGAGTATGAGAGAACGGTGCGATGCGTCGTGTTCTCCGACGACAGCAAGGTCCTGGCATCCGGTGACCTCTCCGGCTGTGTCGATACCTGGGCGCTCCAAAACGCCGAGGACGGCCCCAAGAAGCACAACAATGCTGCCGGATCAGACGACGACTCTTCGGATGACGAAGACCAGCCAGTGATCGAAGGTCAGCGCTGGAGCCATGCTGCAGGGGAGTCACCCATCCCCCGTCTCAAGTCCGGTGTTGTCCTTCTGTCGTTCCGTCCCCCCAACCCAGCCAAGACGAAACTCCTTACAAACGGAGCCGCAAAGGGAGAGCACCGCCTGATGGCCCTCACAAGCGAGCACCAGCTCGTCGAGTTCGACGCCGTCGAAGGCAAGCTGTCCGACTGGTCCCGGAGAAACCCGAAGGCCTTCCTCCCCGAAGAGTTCCGAGGCGTCAAGGACCGCGCCATGGGCTGTGTCTGGGATCTGTCCGCAGCCCGCGAACGCCTGTGGCTCTACGGCACCTCCTGGCTGTGGATGTTCGACCTCAACCAGGACTTCCCCTCCCCCGAGGAACTCAACGCCTCCGCAGACAACCATGAAGACGAAAACGCCTCGACACAAGCCTCCAAGAAGTCGTCCACGCAGAAGCGCAAACGCAACCCATTCGAGGAGGAAGAGAACGCCCGCAAGAAACCCAACAGCGGTGCCGGTGACAGGATACCCCTCGCCCAGTCTGACCTGTTCTTCGCCGCCAAGATGCGCAAGATCGTCGGCAGCGACGAAGGCCAAGGCGAATGGATGTCCCTCGACAAGGAACGTCCTCGCGCCCCCGACGCCGACGACGAAGCGTACGACTACGACGAAGCATACACGGCCAACAACGACGTCGCTCTGGCCCGTCTCCGCAGAGAAAGACAATTCATCGAAACCAGCACCCCCCTGAAGCGCGTCTCCATCGGCGGCAAGCAGGACAAACTCCTCCTCGGCGGTGATATCGAAAGCCCCTCCGCCCAGAAACAACTCGTCCCTGCATCGGCCGACTCGAAATCCCAGCAGCCCTCGCGCCGCTGGTGGCACACCTACAAGTACCGTGATCTCCTGGGTATCGTGCCCCTGGGCTCGGATGCCGATGATGCCGACAGCGATAGCGACAGTCATTTCTTGGAAGTCGCCGTCGTGGAAAGACCCATGTGGGATGTCGATTTGCCGGGTCGTTATGTCCGGGACTACGCTTAGGCGAGTTGTCATCAATTCATACCATTTACTTTCTTTTCTTTTTTATTATTATATGTTCATTTTTTTCCTATTATATTTAGATATTCTTTGTCTTGGCGAGCATGATAGGTCTTTTTACAATCAGAACTAGATTAAAAGTTGTTTTCCTTAACCCCTTTCCCTCCATGTAGTATGTAGATTAATAACTTCATTATCGACACGTCAGTCTCGTACTTGAACATTTGGAACATATGTAATTAATTACTTACCCACATACGGATCTTGTAATTAATGTACATTGACACAGTCGACAAATCATTGTATTACAGCTAATTGCGTGAACTATATTGATCTGATTCTAGGTATATCCGCACCTATCATAAGATACAAACAACTATCTACCCATGTATGATGGTTACTGGGATTCAAGTGAAAACTCTTCTACACTTTACCGTGTTTGATAGTGTATTGGTGACTATGTGTAATCACGGGAGAAAGGTGATGTTCTTGAAACTGGGTAGGGCATGGCATGGTATGGCATGTCTTGTGTGTTTGGTGTTACTTTTACTTCAACATGAATGACTGTAATATACTGAAATTTGGAAATGCGATTGCAATAGGTATAGACGACTGTCGGTTAGGACCTTTTCTCTTTCCTCCTTCGTATTTGTAGATGAACAGGGAGAAGGACATAAGCTAGACAAACGAGGAGAGGAAGTAGTAAAGAATCAAGACAACGCCATGCATGTTTCCTGTAAAGATCTACCGCAACTATCGTGAATATCGAACCATGTTCCATGTAGCATAGCATGAGCGTAAAGAAACCGAAGCAACCCAGAACCTGCTGATCTGCGTTCAGAAGACAGCATACATATCGTGACGCATCAAAATCTTATCTTGTCTCAATGCCCGAAGGCGACGAGAGACTCCATAGAAAGTACAAAAGGTAAACATGTAACGAAAACGCCGATGAAAAGAGAAAAGGTACATTTGCAAACTCCCATGACATTCTCTCTTTGGCTTGGGGTCGTGATTTTTAGTCAGGCTTCTTTCACGCAATAAGTATGCGGCTGTTGTGAGAAACACCATAATCGAAAGCCGATTTATAAACTCTSTATTGGGCGATCCGGCATGGATTTGTCTCATGGCAGGCCTATCATGATGTTGATTGATTCCGGGTGGCGAGAGATATAACGGACCTGGCGCATCCCGTGTCTGCCGCATCTGCAGAGTATATAGTCGTGCGACTCAGCTTCGCGGCGCTGTGAAGTGAGGTTCGGAAGCTGGCACCCGAGAGATGCGTATATCGACGGCAACGGATAAATGTAGCGCAGCATCCGTTTGCTGCTGACGGTATGCTAGCCCCGCCAGTTGATGTTGGTCGCACTGTCGAGTGGACGGGATGTTGGACGCTGACCAGCCATGGCAGGCTCAGGTCCAGATCCTTGGTGGTGACATATGGGCGGACGGCGATTGCTTGGCATGTAATTACCAAGACCCCTAGTAGCTTTGCGCGGAGACAGGTGCAGGCTGCATTCATTAGCATCAAATAAGCAAAGATAAATGCCAAGTTGAAGAGTGAAATCGTCATCCCAAGTACAAGCGTCTGGGCAGCGTTACACAAGGGAGTTGCGCTGTGACCTGGCAACAGAAGATGGCTAAGCAAGGGACTACTTACAGGACTGCTGAGCATGCTGTTCCGCTTGTTCCGGCCCTTCTTAATATGGTTCTTCAGGGCGGTGGAATCCAGCGGTTTGAGCAGCTCAAAACTACACAACAATTCACCTGAAACCGACATGATGGCCCCCCAGTTGTCGAATTCACCACAGTACTATTATCGATAGCGATTAGCAAAGCCAAATCATCTGACTGCAGATACGTCAGAATGGTGTCAGTAAGCACTTACATTAGGGGCAGAAAAGACGGTAACGAGAATTCGATCCTGGTAGAACTCATAGCCATCCTCGACGACCATGTGCGCTCGGCAGACCAAGTCGAAATCGTGACGTTGCAAGAAGTCCATAATGACCTTCTTACCGAAGCAGTAACTCACACCGCGCTCGTTCGGCTCCCAGTCCTCTTCCATATCCGCAGGGTCGCTCCACAGAAGGTCATTCAGCAAACCGTAGTCCGGCACATCGGTCGGACGTGCGATTCCTCGAATGTCATCCATATGCGAGAGGCTAGGAGACAAACCACCATGGACACAGAAGATCTTGCCAGCGACGATCGCAGCAATGGGGAGGCAGTTGAAGGTATCGATGAAGGTCTTCCAGATCTTGATATTGCAACGCCGTTTACATTCATCATAGAACCCATAAACGCGGGTTACGTTGGCACACTCATGGTTGCCACGTAGAAGGAAGAAATTCTCCGGGTATTTCAGCTTATAGCAAAGCAGAAGAAGAATCGTTTCCAGACTCTGCTTTCCACGGTCCACATAATCACCCAAAAACAGATAGTTTGAGGCAGGAGGGAATCCGCACATCTCAAAAAGCCTGATAAGATCCGTATATTGACCATGAACATCTCCGACAATCTTGACAGGGGCTGACAGCTCCAACAGAGCCGGCTGAGAGAGGAACAACTCCCGTGCAGCGGTACAGATGGCCGTGATCTCTGCGTTCTTCAAGCAGACGGTCTTGGTAACCTTGGTCGAGTATCCGGCGTCGAGAAGCCGCGAAATCATGTCGTCCAAGTCAATAATCTTCAGAGCGCCCATTCCCATACCTGGAGAACTAGCTGCCTCGAGCGGAGTGTTCATGATATAATCCAAAATGGGGTTGAGTTGATTCTCCTTTTTTATGAGGATAGATTCACCCACGGCCTGCGAGGATGGGCCCACGGGAGCAACACCAGTGGGAGGAGCGTCCGACACATGGTCAACCTCGCCACTTTGCTGCATAGCACTCACATCTTGGTGTCCTCGCTTCAAACTGCTCGACAAGGATGGGGATGGGGGAGGCTCGGGGGCATCGGGTGTCGCAGCAGGGTCCTCGGCGGTAGGAGACTGTGCACTCAAATTGGTAGAGCTGCGTCGACTTGCTGCCGATTTGATCGAGCCAGCATCCGACCTGTCGGTCTGGCTCTCCGTTTGTGACAGGGCGGATGTCGATGCGCGGGGACTGTCACTGCTACGGATTTTCGAGCGGATCGAGCCGCGAAGAGAACGGAGCGATTCTTTGGTGTCCGACCGAGAGAAAGATGGATACGACTGCAAAGAGTCGCCCGGGCTAGAGTTGCCCTTGGAATGCGACTGACCCATTACTGCAGGGTGAAATATCTGCCAAGCTCGATCTCGGACGTCTATACAAGCGATATACGTTCAAAGTGTGAACACCAAGCCCTGCGATGCGTCGGAATGCTAAGAACTCGTCTTGGCTGCTGCCTAGTCCCAGGAGGATTGGTTCAAGTATAATAGAAACAGATCCTCCACAACGGTATGGACAGGAAAAAGACCAGTCCTCGATCGCGAAAGTTGGCGGTGACGGGAAATGCAACGGAGCAATAATCGGGGGCCAGTTACGACGAATATCAGTACAAGGAGGGAACCAGTCCCCGGAAGGTGTTGCAAAGATTATAAGGCGGTTCGACAGATCGGTGATGTCGAAGAGTTATCGGAAGGAATGGATGGACATTGAGCGGAGGGATGAGAGAGCTTCACTATGAAAGCCGCCGACAGCTAGTAGGTGCTCGGAAGGGGAAGCTCCGATTCGCCGAGAAGAGCTCCTAGGGACGTGCGGGTTAGACGAGGCTTGAGCAGGCAGCGACAGACGGAACACAAGAATCACAAATACAGAGGGGGAAAAAAAAATTAAGAAAAAAAGGAAGAATAATATTGGAGTTAAGTTGAAAGTGGCATGTGTAGGAGAGATCCGTGACGGCTGGAAGCTTTGTACGGAGAATTTGGGTCGAGTTCGGGGCTGTGGGAGGGGAATAATAATAGAGTGTGGAATGGATGCGTCATTATGGGGTGGGAAGAATGGAGATGAAACCAGACCGGATAGGAAGGGAAACTTACCCTCGCCAGGCAACTGGGGAGATTGAAGCACTGAAAGCTGACGAGAGAGAATGTGATGGAGGGAGAGGGGTTTGTCAGAGTTGGTAAGTATTTGGAAAAGTCTAGTTGATCAAGGAAAAAGAAAGGAAAAAAGGGGAGAGTCGAAAGTGTAGTAGTTGTAGCTTTGTTGGATGTCGCCTCAATAATCCCCCAGGCTGTCGTTTTTGGTCTCGATCCTGCAGCCAAAGCGGGTGTGGCATTTCCCGGAGGATCTGTCGGCCCGGCAGAAGCTTGGGCGGCTTGGGAGGCCTGAGGATGAAATAGAGCTGCCTAGAATCTCTGGTCACCGAAGAGATGGATAGATAAAGAGATAAAGAATTCAATAGAGACTCGAATTTAAAAGTAACCACTCTCTACCAGAAGTCTATCTTCTACGACTACCCAACTTGCCCTGTCTGTGCCCGGTTCTTCTTATTTTATATCACCACGGACTATAGGCAGGAATAGTTTGGTGTCGGCGAACAGAAAAAGGCTTACACGCCCCTCCCCTCCTCCAACCGATGACCGAGCCACATTTCAGCCCCTCGTGACTACTATACATACAGTAGAAAGTTGACACCACGCTGCAGCACAGACACGTTCTCGTCTCTCCATCGCACCCGTCTCTTTTCTTGGCTTCGTTCTCTTCAGGGCATCATAGGTTCCTCGCGCTTGCAACCATGCATACAGATTTCAATCCAGCCTGGAAAGCCGGACGCACCACTTATCTTCGGATGATCACCGACTGTCAGCCTCTCAGATGCTCCGAGCGCTCCCGACAATTCCTTGAGGGAATTCGTCGGTCTGCTCCATCATTGGTTGAACCGGAACGCATGTAGTCATAGACTTCTGCCAATTTAGATAAACTGCCATCCCGCTGGGGTCGAGTCGACAACCCCTCCTCCTCCAACGCAGGGCCCACGACGGATCATGAGGCGTAGAATAATGTGCTATGCAAGATACTTCTTAGTCACAAAGGTGGCAGGACGCAACCTCAGTCAGCAGCAGGTCCAAACTCTACCCCACTGCAGGAACACCGCCATTTCCATCTCCAAACCCAGCTCAGCCTGGCCATGATCATGGCTTCTGCTGCCAAGCCCCCTCTACTGCGCCAAGCACCAACGACTTATGTCCGATCTTTTCTCCTAGCCACGTTGTGGTGGGCATGTTTTGGGTGATGTGCCTTGGCCTGCGTTGCAGTCTAGCTGATGCGGGTAAAAGATTCCAACCATGGCATGTGTGACACTGAATGGGATTACTGCGCAGGTGAATATGCAGAGTCCGCCTTTTTGACTCGGCGCTAATAGGTGTATTTGTCCAGTCGATTTCAGTACCTCCCCGACGACCATCATTGGTCACCCTATGACCGCCCGCCAAATCCTTAATATGAGAAAGCTGGGGCCGAGCGGTGTACAGCTTTCGAGATGTTCGTAGCGCAACTTGGTAGACGGAATTATAGAAAAACGGCGTCCCGCCATTTTCATTCTACTTCTTCAGGGACTCCCGCGCGCGAATCTGCTGCGGGGTTTCCTCCAACTCAATTTTCGTAATATGTTGACCAGGAACGACCACAAGACCGATGAATCGACTCGTCATATCCACCTTGATGCTCTGGGCGTCGACTGCGCTACCGGCGGCTGAATCATGCGTACCCGTGGCGGCGTCTCGAACAGTAGATGGGGAAGGGAAGCGGTATTCGTAGGTGCTGGCAAGGATGATATTTCGTGCCTAATGCGGCCAAAACAAGTCAGCAGGCGCTAATTTATTTTCTTTCTCGTATTCTTGGTTTTCCTATCCCTCCGAGCTATCCAAACAGGATAAGTGAAAGGGGAACTTATAATGAAAACACCTACCGCATCCGTACACTTGAAGGTACCCACGAAAATGCGCGTATCTGTCGCGTGCACTCGTAACGTCCGACCGATCAATGAGTCCAGATATTGAACTGCTTTATTTCCGTCCATTGTGCCCTTTCCTGCTGTACCAATCGATTGACGTAAGGCAACCTGCCTAGCCACACCTTCACTCTTAAGCGGGGTGGGGTTTGACCACTAGAAGAAAGAGATCTGGCGGTCTAGACTATTCTGCGTTGTCCCAAGGCGAGGCGGGAAAATAAATCAAGGGGCGAGATTGGGGAGTCTCTTATAGCCAGCTGAACTCAAACGCCTAGTCAGACTGGACGGAATCCGGTTGGTTGTCGGGGGGAGAAAGATGGTCACCGGGTCGCGACAAAGAGAGCCGCTGGAGACCTCAGGCATTCTTGTCGCATGTGACGTTCCGCAATCAGGCACACTATAGCCTACAACGGCTCGTTTAGAGATGGATCTCGCTTCATATAAAAAAAAAAAAAAAAAAAAAAAAAAAAAAAAAAAAAAAAAAAAACTCTCTATCATTAAAAGGAGCTAGATACGTGTAATTAAAGCACAAACTGCTGCACCTTGTTCACCATAATAATTACGTGAAATTATTGTTTGCGTCGCCTAGTATATAGTGGTATAACGATCCTCAACACTTCTTGGAAACTATATACATCATTTCGTCTATATCATCTGCAACTCGGTCGCCGAGGTAGCTCGGAGTGACTTCAACTCGAGTATCTTGGCAGCCATTTCGGGCAAGAGAAGTAGGTCCCGGGCTGCTTTGATTCATGCCTCCAGTAAAGGAAGACATGCAGATGAATACGCCTTGCAACGTATGTCAAGTGGCAGCGTCGTGACGCGACCAATATGACCAGCACATTGGTCCGCGCCGATAAATATTAAGGTAAGGTAAGTCAAGGTATCATCGCTAAAAGAAGTAATGTCGTCGGTATCGCACGCTATGGGTGAAATGCACCCTAGACATGATCGAGCACTCATGCCCAACCACACCCTCCGGGTGGTCTCCGAGGTTCTTGGACTGACTCGTTGGTTATCGAGTCCATGTCCATATCACTGCCCGTGAGCTGCGAAGGTGGGCTACTTGTACTCCAGCCAGTCGAAGTAACTGGCGAGGACAAATTGAAGTTGGGCGATTGAAAGGTGGTTGTCTGGAGTGGTATGACATGGTTCGATTGTTGATCCAGCTTGTTCATGCGGATGTGGGAGGGTGTGGATTGGGAAGGTCGGAAGAATTTGAGCAATGTCTGTTGGCGAGGGTCGACAATTTCGGACGATGGTACAGGTTCTGGCTCAGTTGCCTCGTCCTCGTCTATGGAAGGAGTGGGAGCTTGGTGTTGTTGTTGTTGTTGAGCCGTAAAAAGCCATCGCATTGTGTTTTCTACTCCATGTGAGACAATCGCTCTCAGATTGTATAGGTGCACTCTTCCAGGACACATACCATAGACTACTTCGTCATCCGGGCGATCGTTCCTGAAGCGCTTGCGGGTGCGACTGTGGAGGTGCTTGGGAGAATCATCTGCCACAAATGATGGTCGGGACAACACAGGAGCAGGATTGGATGATGTGAGACTGGGAACCGAGGCCTTGCGCTTAAGAGACATGGTGTTGAGGCGGGGAATGTTCAGGTCTCTGGTGTCGCGTGCGAGTCGTAAAGAGTTTATTTCTCGGTTGAACAATGCAGAGAACCGTTTTGAGAGGACAATGTGAGGAATTGATCGTGCAGAAAAGTTTATTTCACGAACAATGGGTAACTGTGCAGGCTGATATATAGAGTCGTTGGCTACAACAGGGCTGGGGAACAGCCTTTTCCAGTGTGGTTGGGAGAAGGATACCGGCGCGTCGGAGTCACGGGGGAAGCGTGAGCGAGACCGCGTCGCAATACACAAAATATGCGCTATTCCGATTTGGGGTAAATTGATCCGTCCATACCAGTGATCGCAGGAGATAAAGATAGCAGATAACAGAACCTTGGATCCCGGCATAGTACGAATCGCTAGTTACTACTCCGTAGTTATACTCAATATTATCTCATATGAAAGACTATACGATGCCATTCAGGCATTCCGCTTCAGGGTTTAGCTGTATCGGCATATACTTTAAACTCACTTCAATCACTGACGACCACGACGCTGACACTAGAGATCATAAAGCCGGAAACTACTCTGCTTTTTGCATGATCTCATACTGATTGTTAGTCCTTTGTTGAAGAGTGTCTATGATCGGCATGCTGCCCTCTCACTGCTGCCCGCCCTGCGTCTCGATGGGCTTGGGCCCAGCTGCATTCTTCTTTGCGGAACCCGCAATGACGAGAGTTCCGCCTTCCCCGCTTCTGCCTTATCAAGCTGCCACCGACTATTGTTCCTCGTCGTCCGAACTCTTCACTTAGACTTTTCCCAAGTCAAACCATTATATATTGTGGATATCATCGAAGTGCTTTTCTAATAGCAAACACTCCAACACAATTCAAGACGGACGGCTCAACATGGATGCTCGTGAAGATAGTCATGCTGGTTCATGGTACTCCGACGATAAATCCACCTTGTCCTATCAACTTGACCACTGGTTGCAAGAGGTACCGGATGAGATCGAGGGCATCGGCCAACTACCAGTGCCTGGTGCACGAATGATCATTGCGCCGTATGTATCGGAAAGAGCAATTTGCATCTTGCTTCCTTGTCCTAATTTCTTCTCAGGCACGCAGGCTATGCATACTCCGGACGATGTGCCGCTTTCGCCTATAAGGCCCTGGACCTGTCACAAGCGTGAGTAATAGCCCTCTAGCCTCACTCTCGCTATCCACTGAAGCAAATAACTATACAGCAAACGAATTTTCGTTGTCGGACCATCGCATCACCATTACTTCACGACGCTTGCGCTTCCTGAGTTCACTTCGTACCATACCCCGCTCTCCGACGACCCTCTACCGCTTGATACCGAGTTCATTGCCAAGCTACGTTCAACCAGAGCAGGGTCACGAAATGGGCTAGAATTGCAATTTACCACTATGTCTCGCTCCGTGGACGAAGCTGAACACAGTATCGAACTGCATTTACCTTATATCCACCGTCTCCTACAACGCCAGCGTCCGAATCAGCCAACATCTGAATATCCGCCACTGGTCCCTATCTTGGTGGGTGCTGTTACTGAGTCGACCGAGAAGGCTTTCGGAGCTTTGCTTGCTCCGTATATTGATGATCCAGAGAATGCTTTTGTCATCAGCTCCGATTTCTGTCATTGGGGGCAGCGGTTCCGTTACACGTACTACACCCCCCAGGCTCCTAACCCTGGGCCCAGCATTCCCGTTTCCGCTCCAGGCCTCCCTCAACCCGGTATTGATGGCGATAATGTAACCGATCAAATGGAAATGGTGTCTACCGGTCGCTCCTTGAAGTCGCGGGACCGGATTAGGAGCCGAGAACCACCTATTCACGAGAGTATCTCGGCAGTCGACCTTGCGACCATGGCAGCAATTACCACCGGAGAGTACGCGCGCTTCTCGACGATACTCAAGAATACAGGGAACACTGTGTGTGGCCGTCACCCCATCGGCGTGATAATGGCTGGTATCGAAGAGATTAGAAAGAATGAAGGGGAAAAGGGCAGGTTTCACTTCATCCGATATGACCGCAGTTCAAATGTGATAGAGGTGGACGATAGCTCTGTGAGCTATGTTTCTGCCTTTACCGTGCTCTAGGTTAGCACATGCCCACTGCTAAATGAGAACCCAGAGGAATTGTCATCTGTATCCAATCCTTGCTAGGGACTGTGAATAGCCGCGTGCCCTTAAGGCTCTCTAGGATGGTGTAGGAATTACTATACAACTACTGCCATTAGATATGTCTTTCGGGTATCCTCGCCTTCACCCTCCGCATGAAAGCGGCCTTCTCATCACCTTGGCAGCATTTCCCGACCAAGGAATGGAATCCTTGGGAGGTTGAGATCACCCGTCCTGCTCCCACGAAAGGGTAGCATAGAGGTAGCATTGCTAGGGAGGCTACGGAGACCGCTTGCAAATCAAGGTCATGGTGGGCACTCTCGTTGGGCCATTGATTGATGCCCAATCCATGAGGTTGAATCTGGAGGATTCTGCTATACCCGCCATGACTGGCATGAAGAGATGGTACTCTCGGAGAGGCTTGAACAGGCATCGACGAGGGCAAACGAACGGTTGAAGATCATTGTCACATGGGCTCCCGATGGAAGCAAAGAAGGTTCGCCGTTACACGGCAATGGAGGGGGTTGGATTAAGGTAACTCGGCCACTCCGGGGCAATGACCCCAAAGAGACTGGAGAAAACGCCTCACGCCTGCCGTCTGTCGCTCACTGCGTGGTGCCGGTTTGCGGCGGGACTACATATGGTCCGATTGTCTGGTGATGGGATCGCGTGGCTGACCTGCCTGGCCGGTTACCCCGCAGCTTTGCGCGATGGTCTGCCGGGGATGGAGGAAAAAGCAAGTCGACATCCCTCATGCATGATGCAGTGTTCAAGAGGTTGCATTGGGCTGAAGAGAGTGTTTGACTTTGGTACGTTGGGACTGGTGTTGACGGCAGCCGTTAGCCAGTGACACTCTCCAACAACACCTTTAGTCGTGCGACTGCGGAGGTTTGGCACCACCAATCGATGGTGATGAGCTTAAATTGAAGTCCTACAGCTCGTAGGATTCTCAGCCAATCCGCGGTCAGGAGTGCTGGCTCAGTATTTTGGCTTTCTGACCCGTGCGGTCTCTTCGGATACTTCCGCAATGTGAGCCAAATTCCTCAAGGTTTCTTCGAAACATTTGCGCCTGCAGGGCCCCAATGGTGTTCCTGAGTCGCCTTGAGACTGGGCCCCTAATGTGATGCTCTTCAATCTCATTCGTCTCTAGTTTGATCACTTCTGGCAATCTGTTGACTTTATTGTTCCCGTGGCGTAACCAACATCTGGATGTGCCTTCTGTGCCCCAGTGGATAGATCCATTCCCTGTCACCGTTTCCAAAGTCTAGGTCGTAAGACAGGCGGAGACAAATTGCAAGGACGGCGGAGATTGCCAAATGTCGTCACACACACACCGGGGCGCAGGTGCTTGTTGGTTTGGGCCCCATGATGCCACAGCCAGAGGTGTGTCGGTATTCGCCGGCAGACAGACGACTCAAGGCAACTATAAAAGGCGCCAATGGAGGCTGTTTCAATTCTATCAACTCATATCAGAGACGTGTAGTTCCAATCTTACAGGTAAGCCAATCATCGGAGTCTTTCCGGAGATCGTTTGCTGAAACAGAGCGTTGACTAGCACCTTTGTTGCGAGACGACAAAGAGCTGCATCTAAGAACTATATCATCTGTACTGCCCACGCTCGTTCTTCACCTGTTTCCATGGTCAGTCTTTCCTTGATTCGTAGACACAGAGACGCTTGAGGCGCCCTATTGTCATTCCTTATCTCTTTTGCATCTTTGTTTTGGGCATAGTCCCGGTCACTAGTTGATATCTCGAAGATGAAGTTTCTCAAGTTACCCGTTCTGGCTCTGGCTGGTCTTTTTACCGCGGTGAGCTGTGCTCCCACGGGCCAGAACACTACTGTTCCGGTGAATGGCACTACCGAAGCGTCGACTGATCGACTTGTCTTTTGCCATTTCATGGTAAGCCTTGCATTGAGTCTGATATGGCTGGACTAAACTAACAAATTAGATCGGCATCACCAGCAACCGACAGAGCGCTGCGGACTATGACGATGACATGAAACGTGCAAAATCTCTGGGCATCGATGCCTTTGCGCTGAATATCGGGGTTGATCCCTACACTGACACGCAGCTCAACTTTGCGTACGAATCGGCCGCACGTAATGACATGAAAGTCTTCATCTCCTTCGATTTTAACTGGTACAATACCGGACAGGCATCTACAGTTGGACAAAAGATCAGACAGTACGGAAGCCTGCCAGCTCAACTCAAAGTTGATGGCAAGGTCTTCGCATCCTCATTTGCAGGAAACGGCCTTGACATCAACCAGATGCAGTCCGCTGCCGGCACCGAAGTTTTCTTCGCGCCGAACTTCCACCCCGGCCAAGGAAATTTCGGCAACATCCAGGGCGCACTGAACTGGATGGCCTGGGATAACAATGGCGATAATAAGGCACCCAGCGCTGGCCGCAATGTGACTGTTGGTGATGGCGATAAAGCGTACGTCAATGCTCTGAATGGAAAGCCTTACATTGCCCGTATGTGTCCCTCTGTGTTGTCGATGTGTTGAAATCAGTCTTGCTCATGATATACAGCTGCTTCTGGATGGTTTTTTACGCACTTCGGTGGAGAGGTGTCCTACAGCAAGAACTGGGCGTTCCCCTCGGATCTGTTGTGGTACAACCGCTGGTTCGAGATTCTGAACCTTGCACCTCGGTTTGTGGAAATTGTTACCTGGAATGACTACGGCGAGTCGCACTATATTGCACCACTAGCTTCTCCACACACCGATGACGGCGCGTCCAAATGGGTCATGGACATGTAAGTCTCCCCGCCGTGTCCAGTCCAGCATACCAGCGAGGCTGACCAGAGATTCAGGCCCCACGACGGTTGGCTGCAGATGTCGAAGCCTTTCATCGCTGCATACAAGAACGGCGACAAGTCGCCCGACAAGTACATCACCGAAGAGAAGTTGATCTACTGGTACCGGCCTACTCCAAGGAACATCAACTGCGACAGCACCGATACCACCATGGACGGCAGTCCCAACAACTCCTCTGGTAACTTCTTCCGCGGACGCCCCAATGGGTGGGAGTCCCTGCAGGATGCCGTTTTTGTTGTCTCCTTGCTTAAGTCTCCCGGCACAATCCAGGTGGCCTCGGGACAAAATAGTCAGAAGTTCGACGCACCGGTCGGCGCCAGCGCCTTCACTGTGCCCATGGGTGTCGGACAGCAGAAATTCGCTCTCGTCCGCGACGGCAAGACGGTGCTCAGCGACACCAGCCTGAAGGACATTGTCAACACGTGCATCTGCGGAATCTACAACTTCAATGCGTACGTCGGCACGGTGCCAGCCCCGTCCACCATTGACAAGCTGGGCCCAGCTGGTCTGTCGGCCCTTCAGCAGGGCTTGCGCGTGTCATGTCCGACTAACACACTGGGTCTGGGCTCAGTTGCGTCGGCGACACCAATCCCCACGCCATCACCTGCGTGAGAGTCATTTCTCTGTAGGGAAATCTAAGCTAAGATCATGTATCTTAACGTAGACCCATTGCTATGTATCTGTACTTGATCTCCGTTGTCACAAACACTCATTCATTCATTACTACAACGGGGAGAGAGAAAGAGACTCGCCTGACCTGGAAGGATCCGGACATTCATTCAGATAGTGCATTGCTTCAATCAAGCCATCTACTTTCCACCTTTCTATAGAAATAACTACCAAGGAACCCCCAAGAAGCGTAAATCAATCCTTGCACCTCCCAAGCCACTTCCTCCTCATCCATTCCCACCGCCCCCGTAATCTCCGCACCCCCCGGATACATGTTCATATTTATAGGCTGTCTCTATACGGCATGATGTAGCTTATCTTCAGATGGATATCGTGAAAATAGACTAGCTAGAGTAATTTAGGATAACCAGAAGGATAAATGTTTGATCGTTCAAACGTGGGGAATCCATGGTACAATAGCAGTTGATCCAGAAGGGGGGAGAGTTTGTATACGGGGTGGACCTCGGGCCAGCGCAGCCCGACCAGTCCCTAACATCGGAATGAAAAGACGCCCTGCGTTGGACAAGAGAGATAGTGGCTGCCTGATGACCTGGCGGGCTGTCATACTATTTGCAGGATCTCCGCCTGAACCCCGGGCGAGCCAATGCCATCTGGCAGCGAGAACAGTTTGGTCTGTCTCCGACTGTCTCCGGAGCAGCTTATCGGAGAGACTCGAGCACTTATCGTGGTTTATCTCCCGCCGGCGCATTTAAACCACCGCCAGCCCCTGACCACATAGTTCGCTGCATCTCACCGACTTTCTCGGATCTACTTTGCTTATGACCTGTTCTGACCGGCACAATGATCTTCTCCGGTGAGGCTGTCTGTTGTTGATATCTCTCGCCCCAACAGTGCCTCTGTTCCTCGCCATGGATCTGTTCGATTAAGCCTGGCGCTTACTGTCGGTTTCCCCTCTCCATCGCCTACTGCTGTCCTTCAGCCCGGATCTCGCGTGATCGATTTCCATTTTCTACCTCACTTTGATCTGCTTCTCTCAGATCATTGCGCATACTTGTGAACCCATCTTTACTCTTACTTTGACATCATGGCTTGTTGACGGGTTGATCCCGCCTTGTGCTTATACTTGTGCTTCCTTGACTGTTTTCCATCTCGTCGTCTTTTGTCCACGTGCCATATCACGACGCCATGGCGCGCAGCAAGCAGGGGGTGTTTTCTTGGGAGGATGTGTTGGCGCATCGCTACCAGAGTACGTATACCTTGTCCACAGTTACACTCCTAATATACTGGTAGCATATTAACCACCCATCACTCACCAGACAACAAACCATCCGGGCTCCCCAGGTCACGACGATACAGCGCCGTTCAAGGCCAACGGACGTCCTCTAAACCCGACACCAGAACGGAATGGACCATCCAATCGCAAAGCGCCCTACTGGCCAAGCTATCGCCCGAGCTGCGACTCATGATCTGGGAGATGGTCCTGGGCGGCATGCGCATCCACATCATCCAACGTCCGAACCGGCGAATGGGCCATGTAGTCTGTCCCCAGACTAGCGCATGCGATATCTGTCGCGGCGGACTCCCAGGCATCAAAGAGTCGGCGGGTCTGCTGGCGCTGTCGATGACATGTAAACAGATGTGAGTCACATCTCATATACCTACTACATAGTACAATATACTCATTGATACTCAGCTACTGCGAGTCTATCTATATGCTCTACTCGCTCAACACCTTTGAATTCAGCAATACCTGGTCGCTGACATACCTGCGACCCACCATTCCGGCCGACTTCTGGGACGCCATCCGCGAGGTCGAACTCCGCTGGGCGTTCCCGGGCCACTGGCTCCCCTGCAAGGACCCCGTCAAGTCGGTCTACTTCTCCGCTGGCCGGCAGCAGTGGGTGGAGACGTGTCTGGCTCTCACAGACATGCAGGGCTTGCAGACGTTCACGCTGCAGCTGAGTGGGAGCTGGTTCTGCGAGCCGGTGGAAAAGATCCCGGTGTTCTTGGAACCGCTACGGGCGCTGCATCTGCGACAGCGATGGAAGTTGCAGCTGCCGAGGCAGCCATATTATGTAAAGGAGATTCGGAATATTGATGGGGATTTGAGAAAGCGGGGGATTGAGTGTGTGGTGAGGGTGGTTTAGCATTTTTGATAGCATGATAGCGTGTTGGCGATAATTTATACCCTTAATAGTTGCTGAGATATTTAATGGATGGGAATTGCGCTTTGGAATATATTAATGAATGCATATTCTTTGTTGGTGTACGAGTATACTAGTATCTATAGCACGCTCTGCCACACAATATATATACTAGTACCATGATCATACCCACAAACAGTCAACATATAAAACGCAAGCCGCCAACATCCTTATATATCTACACAAACCAGTTCAATCCAATATCATCTCCTGCTCACTGATACTACTACCATCATTATCACTACCCAGTATCACAAGTTAACAGCTTAAATAATCGTATATCCCACCTCCCCATCCTATCCTCTACCCCAAACATCCCCCCCAGCACAGCACAGCACAGCACAGCACAGCACAACAACAAGCACATCAACATTCCCACCCATCACCACAGAAACCCACTCGCCACAAGATACTCACCCATCAATCACCTAATCCAGGGGTAAATTCATCTACCAGAATAGTTAATTACATAAGATGATAATATTCCAACCGAGGAATGTACGTATGTATGCATGTGGCGTCAGACAGGTTATGTAGAAGTAAATGTACCTGCGTCGATGGAGTACTGTAGCCTCTGTAGTCTAATTTTGTTTCCATTCTTCGGCGTTTGACGTGTCTTGGCTGCTTATTTGGGGGAGGAGGTGTTGAGTCAGTGGACTGGTTTGTTTGGTGGTGGAAGGGGGGATGGTATAGTAGGGGATGGGCTATTCTTTATGGAACGGAAATGAGCTCAAGATTGTACTCTGAAGTATCGAGGGTAGCTCGAGTAGTAGTTCAATTGGTCGTTGGTAGGGGTATCCGGCGATGGTTAAAGTAGACGTATATTGTACTGTATATATGGCCATGTATAAGGATACCGAGATCTATTCTTGAATTAGTCTTTCTGCTTGTGCCTACTTGTTTATATCTATAACTAGTACAAGCAGAGTATATACAGAATCGTGGCGTCGTGATGGGGTTGTATTTCGGATCTCCAGAAGCTTCTTCTATGGCCAACGCTTGGGAGTGGATTGGGGATGATGGCCTGTAAGCACCAAAGACAGGTGCACACATTCCCCCTTCGCCTGGGTGGAAAGAAATCAAGCTTATTATCCTCCAGTACCTCTTCGGTGACATACGTCAATTCAGCTTTTGTGGTGGCTGGTGGCTGGGCCAAAGAATGTGTGGGCATTCTTGACAAGGAATCGAGAGAGTTGCGAGATGGAAAGTTGATGAGGTGCTCAGGAGATCGGTTCCATGGATGAGATGTTAATCTTCATTTAAAAGAAAATGGATGGAGTCAGTTCTGGAAGGGATGGTTCATGGTGTAAGTTGGGATGGGTAAAGGTTATACAAGTATAGATGGGAGGTAAGAGAGGAGTGACATCAGTTGCATGCACATGAATTCCTTAGTGGTAGGCTCGCATTCTTGAGAATTGTGCCATTGACTTTCATTCAGGGCAGTCGAGGGAAATCGGAGAGAAGACTGAGACAGACAGTTCAGCTAGTAGATAGAAGCAGAACAGGTGCTGGTGCTGGTGCTGTCTTCCGCCGACTCAACTGCACCATCTCATGTCGACCTGACAACGCCAAAATTCCCGAGCAGTGTTCCTGATTAATACTCCGCGGATGCACACTTCTTCTCTAGATTGTTTGCTCATTGACGGCCAGTAAATCAGGGAGCAGGCCTGGTGGAATGTCTCTTTCTCCCCAAGAATGGACAGCCGGCATACCGAGCCAAACAACAAACAACCAAATCTACGAGTCTGTTCCACTGATGTACATCCAACTACCCAGCTCAAGCTCAACAGCACCAAAGGGGGCAGTTTGTTATTCTGTCCATTGCAATGGATCGACCGTCAATAATCATATCAGACATATTAAATACATATCACTTCAACATGCAGCCATGCACATCAAATTCTTCTTCTCTTTCCCAGCCCCATCTACACACGCCGTACTACATGCTTTAGGGTCTGTACTACTGAAGTGATCAACAACCATGCGACAGGCCATGTCCACTCGCACCTTCGGTGCATTTCGAAGGGATGTTCAAATAGCTCAAGCTTCCGCCGCCCCGTATTCTTCGTACGGAGGTTCGTCATCTACCTACGACGACGGTCAGTGGCACGGAGGATATTCATCGGGCAGTTCATCCGATCAACAAGCAGGCTCCGGTCAGAGCCAGTCAGGAACTATGTCTTCAGGTAGTGGGAACACAGGGAGCTCGGGCACAAGCGGAGACTCCTACGGCGCTGGTAGTGCCGCCCAAGCCAGTCCTGTTGCTTCGACAGAGAACTCAGCGTCGTCATGGTCTGAAGGAAGTTCCGCCAGCAGTGGCCAGGGCAATACCCAGGGGTGGAGTAGCCAATATGTTCAGAACGCACCGTCTCCATCGGCTGTAAGTGTGACATGGGAAACGTCGGGCATTCCTACACAGACAGCCACCTGGACCAGCATGACATTGAGCACCTCCACAACCAGCAATACCACACCCACTCGCTCGAGCACTACCGAAACCGAAGCCCCCGCCAGTACAACGACAGCCGCCTCTGCTGCAGGTACCTCGCATGTCGCTACGCCCCAGTCTACCAAGTTGGCCATGGGGCTGAGTATTGCATTGGCTGTCGTGGCCATCCTAGGCTTCTTTGTGTGGTCATTGCACCGGAAGAAACGGGCCTTGCAGAGGGCAATAGCTGGCCACACCGGCCGCAACGAGAAGCCAGACCCTAGTCCACAACAACCGTCAATGATGAAGAGATGTGCCAACAGCATCTGCAACGGTGCATCAGCCATTAATTTCAAGTCTGCCAAATCGCGTCTACGTTCGACTTCCATGCGTCTTCCTGGAGCTCCCAAGGCGGAGTACAAACCAATCAAGGACTTGGCGCTCAAGGTCTATGCCAATGGCCGCGGGATGCTACGTACAGCAGCGAACATTGCACGGTCTACCTGGAAGAAGTCGAACGTGCATGTTCCCCGACCTGCATCTGAGTATATGCACGATCCCAACAGTGTCGTGCGGGATGGCTTCCGTCAGATCCATCGGTCATACTTGTCTTTGCCTCAGACACGCAGCATCAACAACAATAAGGATAACAAGGATATCCATCCCGCATTGCGAGGTCTACATTCCTCCACTGAGACATTAGTCGGGGCAGACATGGGAAGAATCAAGGAAGTAACCGTGTCCAACACTCCTCCAAAAGAAGAGACTGGCAGGATTCCAGAGGCCAATGTCGCTACAGTGGAGACCATTTCGCGAGGCACATCGACGAATTCCAGCTCCCCGGCAGTTTCGAGAAGCCCAACCATTGAGGTCCCTACTATCGAAATACCCACTTCTCCTGGAGCACCTCCAATTTCATTGGCTCGTGTGTATCGCGTCGACATGGATTTCCGCCCTGTGAGCCCTGAACACGTTGGACTCAAGGAGGGACAAACGGCTATCCTACACCTAGTATACGAAGATGGATGGGTAAGACACGAGCCTTTGGTAACCCGTCCTATAACTCTAGCTAACATAGTCAGGCATTGGTCACTGTCCTCGAAACCAACAAAGAAGGCCTCGTCCCACGGGCCTGTTTCTCCGCCCAACCAATACGGAACCAAGCCCAGTATCTCGGAAACAACATCAGTATCTCGACGGATCACGTTCCTCGCTCTCCGCGTCCTGCGACTCCCACCTCGCCATGCGAGTCGACATCTGATGGCGATCTCGGACGGTTCTACTCGAACTGCGTGAGTCCGGAGTTGCCGCCAGTTGACGATGAGAGACCACAGACGCCGCGGCTGAAGTCTTTGCCGTCGATTGCGAGTTTCCTGAAATCACCTCCCAGCTTTAAGAGCATGGTTTAGGTGGCTAGTAGATTTCGCTTCATGTGAATATTCGGTGTGACCCGTGTTAAGCGACGGGTGCACTTTTATTGTATATAAACGATATCATAATGTCTTGTGCGGATACCTTATAAAATATTGATTTGACACGTTTGTTGATAGATCTCGGTAGTAGATGTTGCGAGACATGAGATGGCATGTTTCGGTCCCTTGTGAACTATCTACTCTGTGGGAGTGATCCATCGTTACACGGCTCCTTTCCAGCAGCAGTTCATCTTCATCTTTCTTGCTCTCCCGCTCAAGCGGCCACTTATTAGTAGGGTAAGACCTGGCATGGGTGTACGCCAGCGGTGTATAATTGTTTGCCTTGATCACAAGAGCCGTCACATCACACATGGCAGCTTATTGATTCCTAATCTTTGGCATATCAAGAAGCAAATGTGCTCGGGATATACCTTACCTGCATCCTTAACCATGCTATATATATTATGCATAGTGTCTGTATCTTTAAAATGATTGCAGTCAGTAAGTACATGCTCAATCCAAATCAGTGTGTGTTTCGGGGCAGTAGATATAAGTTTATTGAATGCTCATAACTACCAGTATATATATTTCCAGTCATGTCATCGTTACTACCATTAATATTAAGTTATCACAGCAATGATGAATAGAATAAACAGAAGGGCAGAAAGGATCCTTGTTCGGATTCAATGTCTACTATCCACTACATATACTTGGTAGATGTACCTGTGCAGTAATGACCCTCCATCCATAGACAATTGAACTACTAAACTCAGCATCCAATAAAACACTTATGAACATATCACCCCATAAACACTTATTAATTATTCCACAGCACTTATACTTGAAAATGCAGTATACATCCACACAAATATACACAAAAGTATGGGCATAAATAAAATACACATACACAGCAATACCACCACACAATCCCACACTCACATGACACCACAACCGACGAACCACAAGCGCCCGTTCCAGTGCAGATCACCGCTGATTTCATTTACCGTCCGAAAGAAAATCCATCTAAATATAGCTACGATGCTATCTTAGCGTGCGGGGTCTTCTTGCTTTCTTTCTTTCTTTGATGCTTTTGTTTATTGCTATAATTTTCATGAATTTTCGAATAATTTTCTATGTCTATACAATATGTATCAAGATTCACGTTATATTCAATCATGAACTATCTACACACATACATAGTTGAACGTAGATGGTGAACCGAGATAATATGGGGCCAACATTCCTGTTCCTGAACCATACCTCACTACGTACTAACTAAACTAAACCGTTCACCCCGTAATACCAATTAATTAATTTCCTCAATCAATCAATCAACTATCCGGATTCCATCCCTGTCTCACTTCTCACCTCATTCATCCACCCCATCATCCGACTCCGACTCCCGAACTGACACAGTCAACAAGTCACTAGCCAGGTACACACACACAACACGGTCGGGTAATTCCCATCCTTCTTTACCCGTTCTATCCTATCTCCTTCCTTACTATCCAAGTAAGTAGTGTCCTGATTTCCTGATTTAGTCTCACCCCGTTCGTTCGTTCCTGAACCGGTTCCACGTTCCAACCCTCCCTCCATTCCGCTTTCTGAAACCTTAGCTACTTTCGGATCACGTTTTCATAGCCTACGTGGTATGTATGCTACCCTAGTATATTAGATAATCGATCTCGCTTCGAGTGAGTCCATATCCTACAGCCAGCCATACTACTATCTAGTACATAGCCAGTAAATAAATCACAACATTTATTTTACGAAGGGCAACCACGAAAGTAAAAAAACCAGGCAGGTATATTCATTTCCCAAACCGGGGAGAACATCCCCCATCCCTAAGGATCTAGCGTACCTTGTTTTGGGGGGGTGTCTAGGCTAAGAACGGGGTGGAAATTGTGGGTTCTGAAAGTGGAGAGTAACTTAGTCTAGTAGAAAAAAAGTAAAAGGGGGTTGGTTGGTGGGTTTTGGGTTGGAGAGGTTGGACCCTGAATTTTCTTTTCTCTACACTCGGTTCGAAAAGTCTTGGCTTGGGGTAAGATTTACCTTTGGGTTAAAGGGTGTTGTGAGGTTTGGTTGGCGGAAATTAAGGGTTCTTCTTTTCGGTTTTCTTTTGGTCACTCTTTGTGTGTGTGTGTGTGTGTGTATTTGTGGAGGGTATTGTTATCTTTCATTGATATTTTTATTTCTTTATATTATTATTGATGTATGTATGTATGTATGGACATATGGGCTGATGGTTGATGAATGATGGAAAGAAGTAAGCTGGGTCCGTCTGGGTCTGTTGGAGAAGACGGAGGGGACAGAGGGTCCGTTCAGCTTCCGGAAAGTCCGGGCGAGGCGCGCGAAAAAAAAGTCTTGATGATGGTGCGTGTAAAGTGCACTTTAGGGGAACACAGACAAGGCATAGATTTACCCCATAATAACTACGATCTATTGATCTTGATAAGGGTCTCGACCAAGACAAAGTGGATATGATTTCTATCTCGACGATGATCGTGTCGAACTATCAGTTTATCCACAGTGCAAGGACACAAAAAGAGGACAGGACTAGTTTAGTACGAATTGGTCTGATTGCAATACGAACGGCTGAATCTAGGCGATGCACGTATCTTCCCATCTACGCATGGTGGTAAGAAAAGTATCAGTAGATGCTCAATTCGGTATCTGAGATCGCCAGGAGTCAGAACAAAAATGGAAAATGAAGGTGCCGCTGCGCCTGTCAGACCCCAGCGCCGAAACATCTGTCTCATAAACGCGGCCATGACTGGCCAACACCAGTGCTTGGCATGCACCCTAACAACAAAACACGGGATGAAATGAAAATGAAAATGAAAATGAAAAATTGGAAATGATTATAAGGAAATTAATATGGAGAAGCTGAGGAAATGCTCAAGGCTAAAACGAATCCAAATGAAAAGCCTGTCACGATCGCGCCTCCCAACCTGCCCGTTTCCCCAAGGTATCCGATTATATAACCTGAAAATGCATCATAAATAAAGGAAAGGAAATGATCTGGTGGTGGACAAAGTGTCACATAAAAAGGAAATCCAGAATGAATGAGTAGATAGGATGGGGATGGTTAGATAACCACCCCAGATTGTTGTGGCGAACACTAGTAGTATTCGCAGCCCGCCGACCGAGGCGGTTGCCTCGGGGGCGGCTGGGCGAGAAACGACCCGATTCTCGTCCGGACGTGAGCCCGGACGCCGGCAGAGGTGTCATTAGAATCCATACGGAAATGCTCCTTAGCAATGGAAGGATGTAGCGAGTCGTGAAACATGCGATGCCGCTGATGTGAATCCGATAACAGGCGGAGGCCAATCGTGTATCTCGTGTCATGGTGTCGTCCATCGAGAGACGGTCCAGCCAGATTATGTGGTCGTGTAGGGTTGTACCTTGCGGGAACCCGAAGTCCCGACCGGTCGCTGCGTACCGATCAAGAGGCACCGAGCCTTACGTGCCGCAAGGTGACATTATGAGGGGTGAGGGCTGAGACACGCCCAAAGTTACCGGCCGTTGTGCGATCCGTCAGGGCCAGAATGGCCAGAATTCCTCTGTCGAGTATCGAGCCACTCCATGGGGACATCCTGCCGCGAGGCGGGCGTCTTCTGATCCTCAGGTCGGCCGGTGGGTGTGTTCTGGGGGAAGAGGTTGTTCAGTTCCGCAGCAAGGGCGGACGCAGTGTAGGCACGCAGCTCCCTCTCTTCACGCTCATCTTCCTTCATCAGGCGTCGCTGATCCGTCTTCGAGAGATTCTCCCGGCGCTTCTTCCGGATCTCGTGGATCACCCACACAAGCACCTCCTCAGGAGCACGGTTCCGGGCCTTGCCATGTCGTGTTGGGCTTCGAACATAGCGTCTAGTAACATCTGTGGCTCCATCGATCGAGAATGCAACGCAGTAAGAGATTTTTCGTCCCCAGCCTATAGCTATGATTAGCGTATGTCAGACGAATGGACACTAGATACATACCCTCAGTGTAGAGACGGGGCTGATCCCAGGCCTCCTCACAAGCATCTACATGCACCCAACGGCGCTGATGCTCCGAGTACACCTCAGTCCAGACGTGATCCTCGGCGTTCCACACCCATCGTACACGTCCACCAAGAGCTCTGCAGAACATGCTAAAGCAGTTGGCCCATTCACCGGCACGTCCTCGTCGAGTTTGCAGCAACTGCCACACATCCGAGTAGCGGGGGAATCTTTCGTAGGCACCACACATTCCTTCCGAGCATCGGTACAATTCGACACGAGTTGCACCGCGTGCGGTCTCATCGGGCGACGGGGGAGTCATTCCTTGGGCAATCGAGGGCGAGCCGCATCGAGCGCAGGGAGGGTTATTGACGAATTTAAAGAAGCAATTCTTGAACCACCTATATCAAGATCGGTCAGCAAAGCTCAGGAAACGATTCATTACGTTGAAAAATAACTCACCTGAGGAGCGCCCGAATGACGCAGTCTTGGTATCCCCATTCCGGCTTTCCTCCTACACTAGCTGCCTGAGCCTGCATAATCTGACTTTCTTCCTCTGCCTCCGAGTACAACCGGTCGAGGGGAATGTGGGCGAGAGCCTCATCCAAAAGACCGGGGTTCTCATATTTGGTCGGTGTTACAGAAAGAACGTGGAGAAGGTTGCGAAATTTCAGAGAAGCCGGATCTTGTGGGGGAGCAGGAACGATAGGAAGATTGCGGAGCAAGGGTGATTGAGTAGACGTTTGCGGAGGCATTTGGGGAGGGTATTGGGCGGCGGTCGGAGGCGGTGGTGGTGGTGCTCGCGAGGGATGAGGCGGGTACAGGCCAGGGGACATAGCCGCGGGCGCTGGCGATTGTGTGCGGGATGAAGCTCGGGACTGTTCCTGAAGCTGGTTGAATCTCTTGTTGCGCATCAATTGTTCGAAGGCGTTGGTAAGTTCTGAGGCGTCGAAGTTCTCAGGCTGCAGCGCCGGGTTGTGGTGTCGACCGTCCGCCATGGTGGTAGGGGGTAGGGTCAACGACACCAGCGAGTGTTAAGGCGTGTGAATCTCCAGATTGGGTGACTTGCAATGCTCCTGGGGATTCGGAATCGACTAGTAACGTGTCTCCGGATGCAGGGAAGAAACACGGAAGAGATGAAAGTTGGTGGGATGGATGGAAAAGTGATGTCGACGCAGGCCAGGTAGTAGTAGGTTGGAAGGTCCGTCAGGTCGGCCGGTTGTAATGATAGTCGCACAGCCTAGCCAGGCGGTCGCCACGCTTGGCGCTGGTCAACGTAACCGCCACGACTACGGAGGGATCAAGATGGTGACGAAAATAGACGGATACTAAGCCAAATGTCGAGATGGCTACAGTATAATCAAGTAGTGTGAGAAGGCGAAG